CTGTCTCTGAATTGAAATTCAATACAAGAATATTGTTCAAAGTCAGGCCATTATTTAGGCCAAGGAATTCATTAACAGATACACATGAATATAGGAAATATATTAGTCATTATTAGTCCTTCTTGGAAATACAGCAAGAGCTTTTTACCCAGGGGTAAGTGGAGAAACCTGGAAAAGGGACTCACTGTAAGGTTACAGTTGCTACTGAAAGACAACTCAGGCACAAACGTCACAAATCTTCTCTGAGCCTCCCAAGGACTCAGATATGTGACTTTTGACACACTGGTTTGACATTACTCATTTGGGTCAAAATGAACACACATAAAATACAGCTCCCTTCTTTGGAAAGGGATCTCTGTCTCCCCCAGCGAGAACTCATTCGTAACCATCTCCACAGCATTCCTCTCTTGGGCAGGTAGATGACAAGTGAAAGACAACATGATTTCCTCAGGCTACCTGGTGAGTCAGTGGCACAGCCAGGAACAAAACCGAGAGGCTCAGCCCTACTTACCCTGTGACACCTGTTCAATAAAGCGACTAAACAATTATTTACTCTGAGACTTGCTCTACAAGCACCAGACAAGTTTCAGTCCATGTGTTCCAGGAGCATGCAATCCACAGAAAGAGAAGGATGAAAGGGGCCAACAGGTGGAGAACACGTTTACATAGATGAATAAGTTCTGACATCTAATGCACAGAGCAGTGTCTATAGTTAACATTACTGTATTGTATACTTGAAATTTGCTAAGAGAGATCTTAAAACTTATCGCCACACACACACACACACACACACACACACACACTCACACAGACAAAGGTAACTATGTGAGGTGAAGAAGGTGCTAACAAATAACCTGATTGTGAGGATCATATCTCAATATATGCATATGTCAAATCATCACGTTATACACCCTAAACTTAACACAATGTTATTTATCAGTAAAGTTGGGGGTGGGGAGAGAACAAAGATAGTATATTGTGAGCATGCCCCATTGCACACGCTACTTGACAGTGAGGTTAGTAAAAGGAGGAATGTGTGTTTGGGGCTCACTATTTTCCAGGCTGAAGTATTTCAAAGCCTTCTTAATTTTTAACCTATTTGAGCTTTTGCTCATTCTATTTTGGAACTTGACTCCTGAGTACCAGCGCCTTTGCAAGAAGTTTCAAATACAAGCCTACATGAATGGACCCAGGTTATTAAGAAAGGGTATGGACTCAGGAAGAAGATTACTCCAAGGCCCAGACTCCAGGAGCAGCAATTTCTGGGTGTGCAAGTGTGGATTCCCTGAGAATAGGGGCCCAGGGCAAAAAGTTTCTAAATTCCTACTGGAGGAAGTCAGAACAGGTGTTTCCCAAGACCCTCTTGTCTTCCGTTGGCCAATTGCAGGTCAGCAGTCTTCTCTGTCCCCCCAAGAATGGCCGTCACAGGGTGTAGCCTCCACTCCTAAATATTCTTTTTTATTGATTTTTTACAGAGAGGAAGGGAGATGGAGAGAGAGTTAGAAACATCAACGAGAGAGAAACATCAATCAGCTGCCTCCTGCACACCCTCTACTGGGGATATGCCTGCAACCAAGGTACATGCCCTTGGCCGGAATTGAACCTGGGACCCTTGAGTCTGCAGGCCAACGCTTTATTCACTGAGCCATACCAGTCAGGGCTTTTCTTTCTTTCTTTCTTTCTTTCTTTCTTTCTTTCTTTCTTTCTTTCTTTCTTTCTTTCTTTCTTTCTTTCTTTCTTTCTTTCTTTCTTTCTTTCTTTCTTCCTTCCTTCCTTCCTTCCTTCCTTCCTTCCTTCCTTCCTTCCTTCCTTCCTTCCTTCCTTCCTTTCTTTCTTTCTTTCTTTCTTTCTTTCTTTCTTTCTTTCTTTCTTTCTTTCTTTCTTTCAATATATTTTTATTGTCTTCAGAGAGGAAGGGAGAGGAAAAGAGAGATAAGAACATCAATGATGAGAAAGAATCATTGATCAGCTGCCTCTTGCATGCTCCCTTCTGGGCATCGAGCCAACAACCAGGGCATGTGCCTCTGACCGGAATTGAACCCAGGGCACTTCAGTCCACAGGCAGATGTTCTTTCCACTGAGCCAGGCAATATTATTTCTTTTTGTAAAATCCTCACCTGACTTTTAGAGAACGTGGAAGAGAGAGGGGAAGACAGAGAGAAATACATTGATTGGTTGCCTCCTGCACACATCCAGACCAGGGTCCGGATAAGGAGGAGTCTGCAACCGAGATACTTGCCCTTGATCGGAATCAAATCTGGGACCTTTCAGAAAGCAGGCCGATGCTCTACCCACTGAGCAAACCAGAATATCCTAACAGACCATCTGCAACTTGCAGCTGGAGATTGTTTGTTGCTCCTCTTCACCTCCTGCTCAGCTATTCTCTCTCGCCAAGCAGCATGTGGGAAAGTGGGTCAAACAGGTTTTAACTAATTCTTATAATAAAAATGCAATAGTCTTCCCAATCATTGTATTATGTCTGGATACCAATGTTGAGCAGAGATTTGCTTTTAACAATTACTTTATTTTTATTTTTTAATATATTTTATTGATTTTTTTACCAGAGAAGAAGGAAGAGGAATAGAGAGGTAGAAACATCAATGAGAGAGAAACATCCCCAGTGGGGATGTCCCCGCAACAGAGGTACATGCCCTTAACTGGAATCGAACATGGGACCCTTGAGTCCGCAGGCCGATGCTCTACCAACGAGCCAAACGGGTTAGGGCTTAACTATTATTTCATCGTGGTTCTTGACCAAGACCTTACGTAATGTTGCAAAAGTAACACTGTCTCAATACTCAAGGACCCCAAAGCCCTCCTTCCTTCCCACCACCCTTCTTACCTTGCAACTTGATCTTTAATTTATTTCTAACTACCTATTCAACCTCAATTAATTTAACATTGATACCAAACTTTTATCTAACTTAGTGTCCATATCCCAATTTAGTCAATGCCCAATCATTTCATTTATAGTTATTTTTCCTTTTATTATAGGATGCAAACTAAGGCCAGATATTGCATTTATTTATCCTTTTTCCTTAGTTTCCTTCAACCTAGAACATTTCTCCAGCCTTTGTCATTTATGATATTGACCTTTTAAAGAAATAGAATATTTCTCATTTTGTGTTTGTCTGATTTTTCCTCATGGTTAGTTTCTGGTTATGCATTCCCCACCAAAACACTGCATAGGTGATGTTGTGTCCTTCTCAGTGCATTATAGCTAAAGGCACATGCTGCCCATCTACTCCTCATTGGTAATGTTCATTTGGAAAACCTAGTCAAGGTGTTGTTCAGTTGTTGTTTTTTTTTGTTGTTTTTTTAATATATTTCTTTCTTGATTTTAGAGAGGAAGGGAGAGGGAGAGAGAGTGAAACATCAATGATGAGAGAGAATCATTGATCGGCTGCCTCCAGCATATCCCCTACTGGGGATCAAGCCCACAACCCAGGCATGTGCCCTTGGCCAGAATCGAACCTGAAACCCTTCAGTCCACAGGCCAACACTCTATCCACTGAGCCAAACCAGCTTGGGCTGTTGTTCAGTTTTCTACCATATTTACTACTTTGTCCCTAATCACTAATAAGCAATCTGTGGGAGCCATTTTAAGACCACAAACACATGCTCCTCCTCAGAACCCACCACCATTCAGCTCAGTATCCATTGGTGATTCTTGCCTAACCAGTCCTTGTTTTGATGATTGCAAAATGATTGGTAGCAGCTCCAGCATTCACTCCACATTCACCAGTCGGCATTCAGCCTTATACTGGACGTAAGAGTCCTCTTTTCGCCTCCATTTACTTGTTTGGAATCATGTGTTCCTATTTTTTCCAAAGGCCTATACTTCATTAGCATCCTTAATTATTTTGTGCTCAAATTATCCCAGATCTGGCAAGTGGAAGCCCCTTCAAGTTGGCTCCCGTATCCTTGTGACTTGTTTTTAAACATTCCCTTACTTTCTGCCATGACAAGAAGCTCCAGGTCCATCTATGCTGTTTCCTCCTTATCCCTAACTTTTCCTCTAAGTCCATCCTTACAGCCTACTCAGCAAGATGAATGCTTGAAGGTGGTGCTTTCAGGAGCAAAGAAGCCGGTCCATCAACATCCCTGCGATCAACAGTTTTAGATGCCACTGGGCTCGTGGCAAGGCCCATCCCCTTCTCTGCTGCCGTCTTAGGCAGGTGCCCCAGAAAAGGAAACAGTAGCTTGGACCATGTAGCTTCAGTTATTGACCCCTCTACTGTGTGCTGGAATCAGTGAGGGATACATGAGATTATAAAACACCATTCCAAGGAAATTGCAGTCTAGCAGAATAGACACACATGCACATAAATACCCATAATACACCCCTGAAAGTATTTTCCTTGTGCTGCCAATGAGGTTCATAAAGGGGTTTGGGGAGTTCCAGGAGGAGGGACAGTACTTATAGCTGGGAGAGTTTGAGAAGGCTTCATTAAAGTGACTTTGGGATTAGACCTTGAAGAAGATAGAATTTGGAAAGAGGCTTTTCCTGGTGAAAAAGTCACTATATATGAACTCTGAATCAGGTCTGACTTCGCAACATCATGCAACTAGATCTAGCCTCCTTTTGTTTGTTTTGTTTTTTTAATATTATCTGCTCAACATATATTTTAAAATATATATTTTATTGATTTTTTTTTTTTTTTTTTTTTTTTTTTTTTTTTTTTTTTTTTTTTTACAGAGAGGAAGAGAGAGGGATAGAGTTAGAAACATCGATGAGAGAGAAACATCGATCAGCTGCCTCTTGCACACCCCCCACTGGGGATGTGCCTGCAACCAAGGTACATGCCCTTGACCAGAATTGAACCTGGGACCTTTCACTCTGCAGGCCGACTCTCTATCCACTGAGCCAAACCAGTTTAGGCTAGATCTAGCCTCTTGATAGCTAGGTGCTGTAAGGCACATAAAACTCCCACCAGTGTAGGACTTGATGCTCCACTAAGTAGAGAACCATCACGATGCCATCTAATTTTTATTTTCAGACACAGATGAAACATGTTCTTCATTCACCCGACTGGGCTTCCACAGTGCAGTGGTTGGCACTGGACTCCGTGTAAAGTTGCTGCTCTACACAAAGAGAGACCCGACCTGCGCACAACTCATCAACTCCACCGCTTTGGGGAACTTGAACGTGACCAAGAAAACCACCTTCATTATCCATGGATTCAGGCCAACCGGCTCCCCTCCCGTTTGGATAGGGGACTTAGTAGAGGGCTTGCTCTTCGTAGAGGACATGAACGTGATTGTGGTTGATTGGAATCGAGGAGCTACAACTATACTATACAACCATGCTGCTGATAAGTGCAGAAAAGTAGCAACAGTCTTGAAGAAATTTATCGATCACATGTTGGTAAGGGAGCATTCTCTTAGATGATTCACAGGGCTAAATTGAAACTGGCCCATTAGGGGAAGAGTTAAAGCCAAGGAGTGTTGGCAGTGAATAGGGGAACTGTTCTGCAGATCCACATAAGCCCAAGGGGAGGTAGAGGGAAAGCCCATAAGAATGATTGTGCGGGTTGTTCACTGTACACATTTGTTGCCATCGTAGACCTATATGTTTGTTAAAATAACTTTCCAGCGAATGACAGCAAAGTGTCCTTAGGAAGGGGCATATTTTTCTAACTCACGTAAAGCTGTCCTGTGGGAAGGTCAGGTTCTGTCTAGGAGTTTTTTTGCTTCAATGATTAGATCGACCTTAACATCTACAGCTGTTCCTCTTCCTAGAAATGTCAAAAGTGTAGCGACTTTATTGTCCAAAACCAAAACTGATACTCATGGTCTGATGAGAGATTTCTGTGTAGGTATGATTTATGTTTTTAGAAGATTGACTAACTCTTTTAAAAAAACAAAACAATCAAACAAAACAAAACTATATATATATTGATTTAAAAGAGGAAGGGAGAGGGAGAAAGATAGAAACATCAGTGATGAGAGAGAATCATTGACTGGCTGCCTCCTGCACACCCCGCAAGGGGTATCAAGCCTGCAATCCAGGATGTGCCTTTGACCCAAATTGAATCTGTAGCTGGTCAGTCCGCTGCGCCAAACCGGCTAGGGCAATTAAATAACACTTAAATTTCACTTAGTGATCTCATGAATTGCCCCTTTTATGAAAAGAAAAAAAAAGTGACTTGTATCAGGACTCTTTTAGAGTGAGTCACTGTGTCTACCAGCGGCATATGTTTTATAAGAGTTCCCCACTTAAGCCACAGCCCTGGAAAAGTAAATATTCAAAGGACTCCTAACAGGTGACCCACTCCTACCCTACGTTCCTTCCCTCTGCAGGGAAAATTTATCTAACTGAGCAAACATGAAGATAAAAAAAAAGTTCATCGAAATGTATTGTTGCCCTTCTCCTCAACTGAGAAGGTTTTACAGATGTCCTGGCTTGGTTTCTAGAAGAAACATGAATGGAGACACCATGACACAAAGGTTTAGGCACAGGATTGGAGTTGGACAGTCTGTTTTGAATGCTACTCTGCCCCCTCCCCGCTGCCTGGCCGTGGGCAGAGCACTTTTACTCCAGGCCTCCGTTTTCTCCTCTGTGTAACCAAATGAATAGCATTTACTTTGCCAGGGTGTAGTGGCACTTCAGTGAGATAATGGATATAAGGTGCTTAGATGTGTTTCTCCGAAATCAACAGATAGGACAGTTCGCCAAATGTGGTCAACTCCTTGGCCCCCACAAATTATAATGACGGATCTCTTGAAATTCCAGGCAAAAGGAGCGTCTCTTGACGACATTTACATGATTGGAGTGAGTCTAGGAGCCCACATATCTGGGTTTGTTGGAGAGGCGTACAATGGGAAGCTGGGGAGAATCACAGGTAAGGCTTCCTGGGAACGGACATGGGGTGCGGAGCCTGGGCAGGGTGTTCACTAGGGGAGCATGATGTAGGCAATCCAAGGCATTGGCTTGAAAGCCAGATCTTCTTCCAATTATTTAGCGTCCTCTTGTGCCAAAGGAAAATCATACCAATGTTGACCTCAGGTTATTAATTAATAAGGTATATGCAAAGCACCTTTCAAATTGTAGAAAAGATTGGTGGTGACTAGAAAAACAGCCATGTCTCGTATGGCTAGAAAAACAGCTATGTCTCTTGGGTATTTGATCTTTGTGCCTCAAGCAGATATCCTTCTTCCTCTCATTTAATCCAGAATAGCTTGCCCTACATACCTAACAAATTTTGGTCCCCAGGCACAACAGGAGTTTCACCATAGGAAAATGAGATGGGAATTTTGATGGCTTAGGTGTACTCTCTGAATATTAGCTTTCAAGCTAAAACTGAATAAAAACGCTCAGCAACACAACAGGTCAAATCCCAAACAAACGTGTGTTGTGTTCTCTTGTCTAATGTGCTAGTAACTTTCCTGGGCTACAAATGAAGGGCTGGAGGAGGCTTTCTCCTTCAGACTTCTTCCATTTATACCTTTCCCAGAATTCATACTCACATGGGGATAGCTATTTTAATTATAGGGAATCTGGAAGGTAGAATAAGGAAGAAGGGGATAGGTAAATGATGCAACTTAAAAAAGTTTAGGAGGTAAATTATTAGGGTCACAAGTCTGAATGTGCTGCTTAAGTTGACAGATAGCCCTGGGCAAGTAATTCATTCTCTCTCTCTCTCACACATACACCCCATTTGTTGTTACTTGACGTCACATTATTTTTACTATTACTCTGAACCAGGTTGCCATCCATTTCTTTCTTTCTTTCTTTCTTTCTTTCTTTCTTTCTTTCTTTCTTTCTTTCTTTCTTTCTTTCTTTCTTTCTTTCTTTCTTTTTTTAAATATATTTTTATTGATTTTTTTTTTTTACAGAGAGGAAGAGAGAGGGATAGAGAGTCAGAAACATCGATGAGAGAGAATCATCGACCAGCTGCTTCCTGCACATCCCCCACTGGGGATATGCCCACAACCAAGGTACATGCCCTTGACCAGAATCGAACCCGGGACCTTTCAATCCGCAGGTTGACGCTCTATCCACTGAGCCAAACCGGTTTCGGCTGCCCTCCGTTTCTTATTTGCCTGCTTTTTTAGGGAAGCAAAGCTCTTTTTACTTTTTAAAACTGTTATTATGTTTTAGAAAACAACATGTTCTTACCTAAAAAAAATATTTCCTTTTTCCGTTTGGGTCCAAAGAACAGATGGCTTGAATTTGCTTGTGCTCCTTTGCTGATTTCCATGGTATACATACATACTCCCACCTGAATTCAAGCTACCAACCTGACATCACTGACACAAAGCTCAGGGAGAAATGAGCAAAATTTACTCCCCAGTACTAGTCCCAGACCACCACTGGCTTATTCTACTTAACCCTCAGTTGCGCCCTTCAGCCTCCCAGCAAACCTGTTCCACAACTGCTTTGAATGTGAATGCAGTGCAACCTGGCCTCTGACCATGGAAATTTCCCCAGCCTGTCTTCCTTCCACTCTCCGCCCATGTGGCCTTGCTCTGTGACATGGACTCAGCCATTGGTCCACACTAACTCCTCCAAATTCTCCTGATTCCTCATCCTCTCTGAGCCCCGGGGTCAATCTCAGCCGTCCCAGAGAGCAGTTTCAGGGGTCAAGCATTTATTTCCCTTTTCCATTCATCTCCCACTGCCTTGCCTGAGTGGACTCACTGGATTGTGGAGTAGGAATCTGGCCTGACACCCAACGACACAAAGCACTCCCACCTGCCAAGTATTGGATGGTTCTGTTTGTTGATTTTCTAGGCCAGAATGGTTGCTTCATCTCTTCCCTGTCCCTCTCTTCCGTCTGCCCTTCCTTTTGCTTTTCCTGTCCAGGCACAGCTTCTGCATTTACTTTTCATTAATTTCTTCAACACAAGATGGCTGAGCATGAATAGATTTTAAAATATTTCAAGTACCCACATTACTTGATAATACATTAAATTTAATACTCAATCCTTTTTAAATTAAAAAAAAATTATCACCAGAGGATATCAACATGTTCTGAATTCAGATCTAGGAGTCCTCTTATAGGTCTTCTGAAGTAGCTATTAATTCTACCTCCACATTACAGATAAGGAACTGAGGTTCAGCGAGGTAATGGAACCTGCCTGAGGTCACACAGATGGTTGACATTAATTTTGGGGCTCCATGTTACATTTGTCTGACTCCAGTGGTCTCTGCCCACACCACGTACAGCTTACCTGTGATTTTTGGCTGACATTGTAAACTCATCATTTGCTGTGGCTTATCACTAAGGAGAGCATTATGTCCAAGTTCATTGTGACAGTCCCCATTTGTGCCTTGGGTCCTGGTGTAATTATTAACAGCGCCTTTATGACTCTTAAAATTGCCACGTTGGACTTTATATAGCAAGCCGATTTATCAGCTGTGAGTCTGGAGGCTGCTGTAAACTGGGCTCTCACTATTCATTTTCTTACACCGGAAGTGGTGCTGTCTTCTGGGCAGAGCAAGCTTCCCCAGCACACACTTTGCAAGGTTATGCATCTCTCTCTCTCTCTCTCTTTCTCTCTCTCTCTCTCTCTCTCTCTCTCTCTCTCTCTCTCTCTCTCTCTCTTTAAAAATATATTTTATTGATTTTTACAGAGAGGAAGAGAGAGGGATAGAGTTAGAAACATCAATGAGAGAGAATCATCGATCAGCTGCTTCTTGCACACCCCCTACTGGGGATGTGCCCACAATCAAGGTACATGCCCTTGACGGGAATCAAACCTGGGACCTTTCAGTCCGCAGGCTGACGCTCTATCCAATGAGCCAAACCGGTTTCAGAAGCAACTCTCTTTTTTGTTGTTGAGAGGATCCTGTGGACCTGGGTGCCTGGGTTTTCATCCATCTCCTCCTTCATCAGTTTCATTGGGAGCAGACAGAAAAATAAGAAAAGCTGGGGGTGAGGGTGGAGAAGGAGCTAAGGAAACAGCAGAAAAAGATAAGCCTCAAGGAAGCAAGAGTGTTGAGAGGGTAGAAATGGAGAATTTGAGGCTAGACCCTGGAAAATTGAGGCAAATATGCTATCACTTGGATTTTTTATATGAAACACCAGGAGATGGGGAGATGTCATTTAACATAACATTCGTAGATAAAATCTTCGCTAAGTCCCTTGAATCTTTCTTCGCTCCAGGCTTTTAGTAAGCGGGGCCTGTTGGAACCTCTGGTGTTTGTTTTTGTTTGTTTTCTTTTTAGTTTAAAGTTTTTATTTTGTGAGTATAGCGTCATGGGAGCTGCTGTCTTGTTTTTACAGCTGTTTCATAATGATGGTGAGGAACGCCCAGCTGACATTGACCAAGGGCAAGAAATCAGTTCAGGCATTTATGGGATGGGTCAGTTCTATAGGAACTGACACCCACATTGTTTCCCTCCTCGATACCTGATCTGATACCGTGCTGACAGGGGAGTTTCATTCTTTCCTTCTGCGCTTGCCAGAGCCAGTGCAATAAAACCGAGAGCTTCACCGAGAGAGGTGATTGCATTGTGACTCTGTGGCTCTGGTTAAGACACTTGAACTCCCTGAACCTCAGTTCATTCATATGTAAAATGAGAAAGATAATAGCTACCCTGGCTCTCTCAAAGCTTGTGATGTGGAGCTTATGAGCTAGTATATGTGAATACAAATTGAAACTGTGAAGTAGAAAAGGTTTAGGGAAGTTCCTGGATCATTTAAAACGAGATAAAGATACGGGTAAGTATAGTGTTTGCTTTTTATATGCCCCCTCCAGTGTTTTTTTCCTGAGGAACCAGTTTATGTTCCCCTGTCCCCCATGTGTCTGTGTACTCTCTGCTGCTGAGCTGTGCACAAGCTATACCTCCTGGTGGAACCCGGATGCCGTCCTGGGGACTCTGCCAGGGGAACCACCTCTCCTGTGGGAAAAGGCTGGAGGGTTGTGGAAAGCAGCCTGACGGAGCAGAACGGGAATGTGGGCGCTTGCCCACTCGGGGGTGCCCTGCAGCCCGTGAGCCTTCTTCAAGGAGAGGGATCAAAAGCTGCAGGTGACTCACGGCGTGGGCCTTGCCTCACCAGCTCTGTTTTCCTTTCCAGGCCTAGACCCCGCTGGCCCTTTATTCAACGGAAAACCGCCCGAAGACAGATTAGATCCCAGCGATGCACAGTTCGTGGACGTCATCCATTCCGACATTGATGGTAACATTCCCATGCTTGCGAGCCAGGGACCCCCCTCACCAGACTCCCGTGGAGTCTTCTCCTGGGGGACTGCCATGCAGAGGCAGATCAGGTTCCTCCAGGTTCCCTTTTCCTACCGGGCAGAGTTCCAAATCTACAGAAATCTTCCCTTCCAGATTTCTGTGGATATTGATGCAGGCACCCAGGATAGCTTGCTGGAGTGGAGGTGCTTTTCTTGTCATCTCTTCCTATTATTTTTATTAAAAAAATTTTTTTTCCCATTGATTTTAGAGAGGAAGGGAGAGGGAGAGAGAGAGAGAGACCCATCAGTGATGAGAAAGAATCATTGATCGACTGCCTCCCGCACGCCCCACACTGTGGATCAAGCCCACAACCCGGGCATGTGCCCTGACCAGGAATCGGACTGTGACCTCCTGGTTCATAGGTTGACTCACAACCACTGAGCCAAGGCGGCTGGGTTTCCTCTTATTTTTAAGTGGTCATCTTGACCAATCAAGGATGTCTGCTTTGCACAGCTTGTGGACAAATGTTTCCAGATGTACAACTGGATCTCCATGCATGATTTTCTATTTTTTGTTGGTTCTTTCTCATTATTTCCCTAAACTGAAACACATAGTCCTGTGTTTTAGAACTCTACACAGAGTGATTGATTTTGAACTACCAGCTCTCTATAGGCCTTCCTGGACATTTCTAGCTTTTATGGTGCTGATTTCCTATCTGGGATTAGGTGCGTGTTATGGGGTTTGGGTGATGTTAAGAATGGGTCTTTATATCCAGCATTCCAAGAGAAAAGGTGGAGTAGGAACTTGGGGAGGGCTGAGAGGACAGAGCAGAGTGACCATTTAATTGCACACCCTTTTTGTGATACAACCACCTTAAAAAATAACCTTGACCACCTTTCTCGGTGTGGTATTCAGCAATAGTTTGCCTTAGAAAAAATGTTTCTGTGAAACAGCTGTATTCTTACCGTGTAGTTGCAGAGTATTATCTTAAAGGCACCACCTCACTGCCATCTTAATGCTTGGTGGAATAGAGCATTCATCTTTTATTTTTGTAGAGAAAGTGACATTTGAAGCGTATAAACTTTGTAGTAGGAAGCGATGGATTCAAATCCCAGATTTTGTTCTTTCTAGTGGGTCATGTTTGTCCCTGAAGTCCTCTGAGCCTCAGTCTCTTCATCTGTAAGTTACTTCACCTGAACTTACCAATGGCTACTTTGCAGACATTGTAAAATTAGAAAGTGTGTAAAATACCTCATATCATGCCCACAAACACATACAGGTTCTCAATATATAATAACTTTTATCATTGCAACGATGTAAACATATATAAATAATATTTTTAATCAAACATTTTACTGATTATTTGGGGTGTTGAGGTTAAAGAGAATAAGCAGTTATTAAATCTACTAGAGGCCCAGTGCATGAATTTGTGCACAGATGGGGTCCCTCGGCCTGGCTGGTGATCGCGGCCTGCCGGCCAATGGGAGGAACAGCAGGAAGTTGGCTGGGCCACAGGAGGTTGGCTGTGGGAGTGCACTGACCACCAGTGGACAGCTCCTGTTTTGAGCATCTGCCCCCTCGTGGTGAGTGTGCATCATAACGACCAATTGACTGGTCGTAATGGTTGCTTAGGCTTTTATATATATAGATAATTTTTTAGGTCCCTGTTTTCTGGAAGAGTTTCCAATCTCTGCCATCCTAGATCCCAATTTTTTAAAGAGTTTTTTTTTTCTACTAAGTAAAAGTTCATTTTTTCCAGTTTCTTATTCATTAAAGATTTACACAAACGCAAGTAGAGGCTCAGGAAATAGAGAGTTTCAGACAAATATAAAGAAGAAAAGTATAGCTCTGGCTGGTGTTGCTTAGTGGTTGAAGCATTGGCCCACACACCAAAGGATCAAGGGTTTGATTTCCCATCAAGGCTGGGTTCCTGGGTTGCAGGTTTGAACCCTGACCCCAATTGGGGTGTGTGTGGAAGACAACCAATCCATGTGTCTCTCTCATATTAATGTTTTCCTCCCTTCCTCATTCCTTCCTTCCCTCCCACTTTCTCTAAGAATCAATGGAAAGAATATCCTAGGGTAAGGGTGAGGATTAACAAACAAAAAAAAAAAAAAAAAAAAAAAAAGAAAAGGAGAGAAAGATGCTGATCTGACTCCAGCATTCAGTACCTCTCCAAACCACTAGTTTACAGACATAGCTCTTCATTACATGGGTTCTTTTTATCAGCCTTGCAGTGAATGAGTGACCAAGCCGTCTTATGTCTTTATAAATATCAGAAATTAATTCCATCACTATCTTCATAGTCTCCTATTAGAGTGCGTGTGTGTGTTTGTGTATAGCAATGATGCTCTTTAACTAGCTAGGTAACTTTGGGCAAAATATTTAAGTAGGTATAATAATAGTAACAACAATAACAACAACAACACAGCCCTTGCCCATATCCTGCAGGCAAATGAACTATGAGATGTGCAAAGTTCAAAACAGTATAAAACATAGCATATTCTCTTTTAGCACTGGGCTACAAGGAGCCATTAGGAAACATAGACTTCTATCCAAATGGAGGATTGGATCAACCTGGTTGCCCAAAAACAATATTTGGAGGTAAGTTCAAATACTTTATATTTTGTAAAATAATGGTTTTTAAAAAGCATATTTTAAAAATCTGATATCCTATGTGGGGTAGTTATTAGTAAAAAAGATTTCTGAGAAAGTAGAAGTGGTATAAATATGTTATAAACTATAATTATTACTTAAATATACATTTGGTTAATAACCATAACCAAATGATTAAAAGCTGTTACAAATTATCTGTCCTTCTTGAAAAGATGTGTTTTTGACCTAGAAATCTCTCTTAGAGAAATAATAGAAAATGTAGACAAAAATTAGAGGGCAAAGGTATTCAATAATAGTGATGTTTATAATAGTTAATTTTAAGGAATTAATCTAAATGTCCAACATAGGAAAATTATTAAATGAATATGGCACACCTACACAAAGGAATATAATGTTAAAAATCATATTTTAGAGATTAATGAAAATATTTGCAATATGATGTTAAAAAGAAAAAGATAAAAACTCTATAGTCTGATCCCAACTTATTTTTAAACTAGAGGCCTGGTGCATGAATTCGTGCACCAGTGGGGTGCCTCAGCCTGGCCTGTGGGATTGGGCCGAAATCGGCTCTCTGACATCCCCCAAGGGGTCCCAGATTGTGAGAAGGCACAGGCCAGACTGAGGGACCCCATCAGTGCACAATTGGGGCCAGAGAGGATGCAAAAGGTTGGCCAGCTGGGGAGGGATATGGGAAGGCTCCAGGGCATGTCCAGCCCATCTCAGTCCCCGATCGCTGGACCCAGCAGCAAGCTAACCTACCAGTTGGAGCATCTGTTCCTCTGGTGGTCAGTGTATGTCATAACAACTGGTCAACTGTCTGCCCCCTGGTGGTCAGTGTACATCATAGCGAGTGGTTGTGTAACTTTAGCATATCATTAGCATATTACACTTTGATTGGTTGAATGACCAACTTAGCATATTAGGATTTATTATATAAAACTAGAGGCCCAGTGTATGAAGTTCTTGTACAGGTAGGGTTCCTAAAGCTGGCCAGTAATCAGGGCTGATCTGTGGGGAGACTGGTGGGGTAATTGGGGGGCCCTTGCTGGCACCTGCCTTAGCTGGCCTGAGCTGTGGGCTTGGGGCAGCTCCTGCATTGAGCATCTGCCCCATGGTGGTAATTGTGCATCATAGTGACCTGATGTTCTGTTGGTCATTCTGCTGTTTGGTCGATTTGCATATTAGGCTTTTATTATGTAGGCTGTGTATTTGTACAGGTGTAAGTATAGAAAAGAAGACTAAATTTAAATGCTCCAAACAATTATTAGGGTGATCTCTAGACATTAGACTTCTATGAGATTTTTCACATCATTATTTTTTATTTTCTAAATGAGCATATATTACTTTTATAATGGGAAAAACCTCACAACACAAAAATGGGTCATTGCAGGACAACATAAAAGTGTGGTGTGAGACCAAATGAAAAACCTATCCCTCAGTATTCTAAATATTTATTTCACTATTGCTAAAGAAAGTTAAACAATCCTGGAAATAATTCTAGAAAAAGATGATCTTATTACAAAATGGTATATATATATATAGATAGATAGATAGATAGATAGATAGATAGATAGATAGATATAGATATAGATATAGATATAGATATAGATATAGATATAGATATATAGATATATATCTCCCATGGGAATAATGTAGTTTTTGAAAATGATCCCAACATAATGGCATAATAGGGCCAACCATATGGTACCATAAATGGAAAGCAGTCCTGTCCTGTGTGATATAGTGTAACTACATCCATGAACAGACAAAGATAACATGCTCTGCTTATAAAGGACATCCTCTGTATTGTTACTAGCTTCATTGTTTTTGCAAGTGGGAGATCTAGGAATAACAAATAAATATTGGCTTCCTAAGTGGGCATAAGAGGACTTTGGAGAAAGAGGAAATGTTCTGACTCCAGCACTCAGTGCCTCTACAAACCACTAGCTCATAGACATAGCTCCTCTTTTCATGGGGTTCGGTTTCCCATTCAGATCCTTACCTCTTACCTCCAATTGATTACCCATCTTTGGGACATTTCCTGAGTGACTTCATCCAGACCCAGGAGTCATCCATCATCCTTTCCCAAAGCTATCCTTTCTTCCTTCCCATCTTGGGGATATTCCTTTATCATTTCCCTCCTTCCCTCTCCCCCATGGTTTCTTTTTTGGTATCTTGAATAGTTTAAATGTCTTGCATGCTAATCTTCTGCTAAAAATCTCTGACCACCGCTGAATTTTTCTTCTCCATTTCACTGACAAAAGAAGGACATAGGTTGAGTCTTGATTCTACCACATAATAACTGTGTGACCCTGGGCCAGTCATTTAACCTCTCTGAGTCTCAAAGTCCTACTACATAAAATGGGGACAATCATGCCTGTCATCTTTTCTCCGGTCATTTGTTAGCATGAATTCTGATCTATGGGTTTTCATAAGGATTGAATGGAATAGAATATACTGTAGCTGTTAGTACAGTGCCTGGTATATAGGAGAGATGACAAATTGTGTTTACGCGCGCGCGTGTGTGTGTGTGTGTGTGTGTGTGTGTACATACCATATGTGATATACTGTTTTTAAATGCTACAACTGCTCTGCTCCTTAACCATTCCTTTCACAACCCAGGAATGCAGTACTTTAAGTGTGACCACCAGAAGTCTGTGTTCCTGTACCTCTCTTCCCTGAGAGAGAACTGCACGGTCACCGCATATCCCTGCGACTCCTACAGGGATTACAGGAATGGCAAGTGTGTCAGCTGTGGCATACCACAAAAGGAGTCCTGTCCACTCCTGGGTAAGTCCAACAAGCAGTTTTTCTTCTGGTTAACAAAGAGCAAAGTTTTGGTAGGAATCCCAGGACCATTTTACTATCCAAAAATAAGCCTGAAAATTGTGTGCTCTTGGAAAATTTATATAGTCAGCTTTTTCTAGCCAATTTGTTCTGTAAAGTACTCTGGGGTCTTCTAATAAATGTTAGAAAAGCAACCTGCATAGGATTTCAGAGCAACCTCTATTGACACTCTATTCTAGCATGAAAAAGAAGGTTCCAGAAAAGTTTCTAAGCCCACCCAGGGCACAATCATCTTATGTAACCTGCTCCCTTGGGGACAGGAATGCCCTCTCCTTGCATACAACCTCTTTGATCCCTTCGATCACATGAGCCTTGCAGAATTATTCTTTCCAACAAGTTGTGTCTGTAAGTGCCCTCATAGCATACTGACTCTCGTGTGCATTGCACGGGGGTGGGATGGAGTGATGGATACCATGGAGGTTTCTGGGATATTTGCTAAGGATTAATACATTTCAGGTGGTGCAGACCTTGGAACCAGAGAGTTATGAGAATTTTCTAATTGCTCCCAAAGGAAAAACCCAAGTTAATGTCAGGGCGTTCTGTAGACAAGGGATTCTTAACCCTGATTATGCATTGGAATCACCTAGAGAGCTTTAAAAAAATACTGATGTCTGGGTCTCTCCCCAGTTCAAGTCAGAAGGCAGAGGCAGTTCCATAGGAGTGGGGACAGAGAAGAGAGAGCGAGGCCACACTGATGTACTGAGGGCACTCAATCTCCTTCCTGAAGTCACACGCGTGAAGGAGGACATTCATCTGCTTGATGACATAGTCGCTTGGCAAACCCAGGTTGTACGCAGTTTAGGGGCTCGATTACAGTTCAAGAAAGCACATTGCTTTGCAGAAGTGATGCTGTTCTAGGTCCCCGAATCCGTTTGAGCTATACAATGAATGTATTATGGGAAAATATCAGCACTATTTTTAGTCTGCTCCACTTCTCCACCTATGCAACTGAGAACCAGGCTGGGTGATGTAATGTCGGTGGGAAGGAGGGAAAACCACGGTAGGGCCCTTTTGCAGGCCCCAGCTCTTAGGGATCGGATCGGGTAGTGAGAAGAGTGTGGTGGGTGCTAGGCAGGCACTGCCCTGGTGGCTCTTTGGGTCCTCACCATGAGGCGTGAGGGAAATTATCTCAGTGGGGATGGAAGCCACACTCGCTGTTCTTGCTGCCTCTCCACCTGCTTCTACGTTTATGTAATACATGTTACCGTTACACTTTTTCCAACTTGTTTTGTAGGCTATTATGCTGATAATTGGAAAGACTACTTAACGGAGAAAGATCCTCCAATGACTAAAGCATACTTTGACACAGCTGAGGAGAAACCGTTCTGCAGTGAGTGGTGAACGTGGTTGTTGCTTTTGCCCACCCCCTTTATTTTTGGAATGGCTGAGTCTCAGCTTCCCAGCTACTTCTTAGTAAATGCAGCCATGGTGCAGTGTGGACTTTGGAGCTGGAAAGACCTAGGTTGAATCCTGAAACTACATCATCACTGTGCGACCTTATCGAATGGGGATAAGAATGTCTATCTTCTGGGTAATAAGGATTGAAATATCAACAAAGCTGTTAGCTTCATTGGATGGCCATTGTAATCATTAACATCTTCCAGAGAATTGCTTGATCTCCCAGAGACATAAGATTGCTCTAGGAGAAATCAGGTGTCAGCCACATCTATGGGTGGATCATCTCCACCTCTAAAGCAACTATGATGACCTTCAAAAGACATTGAGAGATTGGATATTCCAGACAGGAGCTAAATGGGATAATAGATAAGATGGCCTGAGAAGCAAGGAATTTTCCCCAGTAGATGTATGTCTTGTAATCTTGTCTCCCTTTTCACTTTTCTTGGGAGTAACACTTGCAAAAGAGGCTGCAGGTCACTGGGTTTCCCTCTTTCTGTAGAGCCACATACGGCAGCCAAGGATTTTGTGTCTGACAGGTCCAATCGGAGCAGGCCCTTGAGCAAGAATGGGTCATAAAATGGCAACTCCAGGGCTTACCTTACTCCTTTGTGGGTCAGCCATCTCCCTGAGCCTCTTTCCCCTTCTCTACAAGTCTGACCAAGAGATAACAAAATGGAATGCCATAGTGGGATCCCATCTTCCCAAAGCATACTTGACCGCGGTGAGCAAAGAGTGCGGAGAAAGATGAGATTTCCAAACACATCATTCACTCTCATTTATTGAGTAGTAATTTAATGGGTATCTATAAGGTGTTATTGCTGAGATTATATGAGGAATAATATTTCCTTTATTCCTTCCCACTTATTGTTGTAGTTTATTTTAGTTCTATCGTTTTTTTGTAACCTCATAAGACACTATTCAGGCAATATTTATAATAGAATGTACCCATTCATTTACCACATTTTGATTATCATTTTTTCTTGAATTTTAAAAATACCATAAAGTGCGCTGATTAATACTGGGAGAATCCCAGAGCATGATAAGAATTCCAAGAGGTAGACCTGACTTGATCTGAGGGTCAATGAAGGCCTCCCGGACAAAGTGACATTAAGCTGAAATCTGATGGATGAGTTGGCAAAGGTGGCAAAGGAGTGTCCAAGTGAGGGGAAGGCTCAGGACCAAGAGGGAGCTTGGCAGTGCAGGTGGCATGGCATGACCGAAGAAGTGAAGAGGGAGGCTGAATCGCTGTGGAGGTGGCCCAGGCTGGGGAAGACCTTGACAGCTGTGGAGGTCTCTGCATGGCCACCTGCTTGGTTTATTCTAAAATGGGCAGGGATTGAAGTGAAGCTGTCACTCAGCAATAGGTTCAATAGGTGGGAGCACTGTTTCAACTGTGATGCCTAAACATGGTGAATGGATATCATTGGGTTCTGCTATCACTCAAGCCATCTTTAGCAAAGGGAATAGAAAGGAGTTTTAGAAAATTCTGCCCTGATGTTGGCAGAGAAACTAGAGAGGAATTTAAAGAGACTCAGTTAGTAGGGAGGTTGGGTTTTTAGGAACTGGCCCTTTAGTACAGCAGTTGGGAGTATCTCTCTCTTACCATGTTTTCTCCTGCTTTTGCAGTATATCATTACTTTGTGGATATTATAACTTGGAACAAGAACATAAGAAGAGGGTCCATTACAATCAGATTGAAAGACAAAGCTGGAACTACCACAGAATCCAAAATCGATCAGTAAGTTGGGTTGGGATCATTTACAGTTTGCTATTTTTCTTTTAATTTTTGCTCAGAAAAATTCCAAATATACCTATTGTCTTATTTACATGTCTGAACTTTTCTTTGTTTTACAAAAGATATAAGGGGACATATTGTTTAGATGCTTCTTGTGGCTCTTGATCTCCCAGGACCTTTACAAATGGAATTGATGCAAGGGGTTATTACCCCTGCCTCCTCTCTTCCTCCTTCCCTCCCTTCTTTCCCTTTTCTACTTCCACCCTTCACCTTCCCTTCCTTTTCTCCATCTTCTCCTTCATTCCTTTGTTTAATTTAAGCAATTAACTACAAAACTCACCTTCGCTTGCTGTAAAGGATTTAAACAGTAAAGGAGTATGTAAAATAAAAGTGCACATTCTTGGTCCAACCCAATAATCCCACCCCCACAGGCATCCACCCCATACACATATGTTTCTATTCTTTTATGAGCTCATACTATACATAAACATACTTACATATATACACACACATACATATATGTAAACATATGTATATATTTTTGGAACTCAGAAAATGTAACTTGCAATTGAATATTGGGAACACCCTAAAGCCTCCACAGAGAAGAAATGGTTAATTTAAATGTTCCCATATAACAGAATACTATTCATGCGTTGGGATTATTTATGAAATATATTAAATGAAATGTTTATAGTATACTAAGTGAAAAACTTCAGGATATCAAATTATGTCAACTATAAAGTGCAACATGTATTATCTATGTATAAAATTTTAGCTTAACTTAATAAAAATGAAATAGAAACACACCAAAATATTAGATTGCCCCCGAGTTGTGAAATATGAGTGCTTTCTTTTAGTTTCTCTTTATTTTTTTAATTTTCTATATATTGTATATATGTATTATATATGTATATTTATATATTGTTTAAAATTGTTAATTAATAATTGTTTCATCTATTACTTTTACAATTGAGAAAGAGAACAAAGAAACCAAAAACTCTTTAAGCAAAAAAAAACCTTGAGGCTTATTTTATTCATTTTATCAGAAAATGTTTCCTGGTTCCTGTTGTTTAGTAGGTATTTGGGTTGTCTCTTGGCCTGACCCATAGAGGACCAAGTAGAATATCATCTGAAATTAACAATTGCCTTATGGATTCACTGTATAGATAGAGACAATGTAGATGGGTGGTTTAGAAGTGACTTTTCAAATACATTTTTATTGATTTCAGAGAGGAAGGGAGAGGGAGAGAGATGTAGAAACATCAATGCTGAGAATCATTGATCATCTGCCTCTTGCACACCCCATATTCAGGATTGAGCCCAGTTCATCGGTCCATGCTCAGCCACTGAGCACCACCAGCCAGGTGAAGTGACTTTTTAAAAATGCATCCTTGGATAATAATAATAATAATAGCCTTTGTTTATTGAAGTAAGTGCATTACACACATTAGTTAATGCAATTCTCACTAAAACCCTGTGAGGTAGTATTACCATCTCCATTGTATAAATGAGGAAAGTGATATGGCCAGTATCACACAGCTGGCTGATCAGAGCGAATGAGGTGAAAGCAGAGACAGATCTGTTCAACCCCAGGCCCATAGCTTTAATCAGTACATTATACATAATACAGTATTCCTAAACTGTATTGCTCCCTCCACCCCACCATTGTTAGGATTTGTGAGTAGTGGGGTTTTGAGGGGATCTTCAATGACCGCACTATCGTGTGAGTGTCCTCACACCCACAGTGGGGCAGCATTTCCAGGGTGGGCACCCTAGGTGTAGCACATCTTGAAGAATCAGCCTCAGGGAGTTTCTGAGCTGTGACCTTCAGTGAGGAAGCGAGGCAGAGACCTCATCTGGAGATTCTAGGGAACAGCAGGGGAGATCATGCACTTACATAATGGAGAGTGTTCACTTAGCAAAACGTGAGTATTCGTGTCAGTAATTGCTTACATACTTACTGTCTTAGGAGTTTTAATTTTACATAGTAAATTTCTTCCAAGTAGGGACTCCTAAATTTGGAGGTTTTTAAAATCTTGATAGAGACCTTAACATCCTCATATTAGTCATGTTTAATAATCTCATTTTAGTCATGCTTGTGAAAAAGTCATCACCAATGAGAGAATATATGGGAATAAAAGGAAATGCTTGTTTTATTATGTGGGAAATAATGGCTACTTTTTTTGCAAGGTAAACTTTGACATTTTAGTATTTTTACAATTTAAGGTAAAGAAAATGATATTACAGTGTGTACTTTGAGTTTATCCAGGCTTACCAGACTATGGGTGCAAATGGAGTCACATTCAAGGTGTTTATTTGCCTGATGACTCTTTTTATAGTCATGCTTTACATGTATTTCTTGTTTTTAACCTTTTAAGAAATTGAAATATAATATTCATATCCTATAACAGTCATCCTTTATTTTTTTAAAATATATTTTATTGATTTTTTTACAGAGAGGAAGGGAGAGGGAGAGAGTTAGAAACATTGATAAGAGGGAAACATCAATCAGCTGCCTCCTGCACACTCCCTACTGGGGATGTGCCCGCAACCAAGGTACATGCCCCTGACCGGAATTGAACCTGGGACCCTTGAGTCTGCAGGTCAACGCTCTATATAATGAGCCAAACTGGTTAGGGCAATAGTCATCCTTTAAAAGCATCTGTTTCCTTGTCTGTGAAATAAAGATAATAACACTCACCTTGCAGTAATTTTCAGAGGGTTGGAGACATGTGTCAAGAGTTGAGGATGCTGCCTGGCTATTGCAGGCAGCACATGCCTCTCTAAAATCACAGCATTTCCTTAGTCTTGGGGTCAGCAGTGCTTGGGAAGCCAGTGGACTTTGCCCACGAAAGTCGGCTATTGCAGGCTATGGAGTCAAATGGCTGCCTGTTTACTGATTTATAAGTTTTAAAACTCTTTCACTAGCAATCAATATTCATTTAAAAATAGTATTTCTGAAGGCCGAGGATGGGGGGCAGGGGCAGGCTAGAGGGAGTCAATGGAAGGGGGGAGGAAAAGGGACATGTGTTACACTTTCAACAATAAAGAATTACTAAAAAAATAAAAATAAGTAAAATAAAAATAGTATTTCTTCCTTCTAGTGAACCTGCAACATTCCAGAAATACCACCAAGTGAGTCTGCTTGCAAGGTTTAGTCAAGATCTGGACAAAGTGGCAGCCATTTCGCTGGTGTTCTCCACAGGATCTGTAGTAGGTCCGAGGTACAAGCTCAGGATTCTCCGGATGAAGTTAAGGTCACTCACCCATCCAGAGAGGTGAGCCACACATAGGCAGGGCTTGACAAGCTCCTGTTTTCCAAAGATGTCGTTGGTTCTTATCCAGTCTGCTTGGTCTAATGCTATAATTGGCTTTCATCAATCACAATGAAGGAAGTGAAGAGTTTTCCCAAAATAGACTTGATAAAAACAAGTAGCCCAGCAATCCAAGGAAATTTTACTGGTATGCAGTTAAAAATAAATGACCCAATCAATAGTCCAAAGAAATAATTGTCCTTATATGTATAGAGTTATATAGTTCCTTCCTAACCACTCTACCAACACTGCTTTGCAAGTTGCTAATTTGTTGTAGAAAAGAAAGTCTCATATAATTCAGCAAACTGATAGAACAGGTCCCTGGTATAAAAAAGTGGTATAGAACAATTAGAGTATTTTATTCCATTGGTACAGTATGAAAGTTAAATTTGATAACTGCACTGAGAATGTCCTTGTTCTTAGGAAATACACACTGAAGAATTAAGTGGTAAATGACCTATTCTCAATTGGTTAAAAAAAAAAAAGTAAACGACGAGTGTGTTTGTGTGCGTATGTGTGTGTGTGTGTGTGTGCGTGTGCATGTGTGTGTGTGTGTGTGTGTGTGTGTGTGTGTGTGTGTGTAGAGACAGAGATGAAGGAGAAAAGAAAAGGCTGAGATGGTATGTATGTTTAGTAACTAATGGCACATATAGTTCTAGCATCCAACATCAGGCATAAGGGAGACAGGAAGTGATGTGAGCAGTTAGTACTTTAAAATTCCCTTCTCCTGGAGGTTTAGGGTACCCTAAAACATTTAATAATACAAGTTTCTTCTAAGGTTTAGGGTATACTAAAACATTTAATAATATAAGTTTCTTCTAATACTTTTTTCTCTGATTACCAAAGGGATACATATTCATTTAAAAAATTTGGAAAGTGCAGAAAGTGTTAGGAAGTAGAGAAACATCACCCATAATGTCATCAGGCTGGTAGGCAGAAATGGTTAGGGGCAATTAGACAGGCAGGAAGGCAAGCAGTTGGGAGCCAGCAGTCCTGGATTGTGAGAGGGATGTCCGACTGCCTAGACAGGATCAGGCCTGAACGGGCAGTCGGACATCCCTCAAGGGGTCCCAGATTGGAGAGTGTACAGGCTGGGCTGAGGGAAATCTGTGCACGAATTTCGGGCTTCTAGTTAGAAATAATTGCTAAAGCATTTCATATCCTAGGGATATAATACAAGGTATTTGACTAGAATAGGGTATATTTATTATTTCATTGACAAGACTATTTCATCTTTTTTTTGCAGGCCCCAGTTGTGTCGGTATGACCTTGTTCTGATGGAAAACATTGAAACAGTCTTCCAACCTATTCTCTGCCCAAAGTTGCAGTTGTAACTGTTGTCAGAACACGTGACCATCAAGGAACATCAGGAAAGCTATGGCAGGCTTTCTGAGAGCTTCACCGTCCTCACCTTCTCCTCCAGGCACAAAAAGTTCGGAATAACCAGGGTTTTTCCAGTCATGCCCCATGGATGTCATGTTGCCAAATGACAGCCGACTTTGGATTATAGAACAGTCTTGAGAAGGGAGGCCCTAACTAGGACAAATCTGAAAGAGCCAGGCCTCAGGCAGCCAGCGCTTTGGGTGGCCGCGTCCTGGGGCCTCGTTTGTTCCGCCCTGAGATTCTGCGGCTGGTCACTCGGGCAGCTCAGCGGGACAAGCCTCTTAAAGGGAAGGACTGGCTGGAGACCTCACGTTGGACTCGACTCCACACTCGCTGTGCCAAATTCCTCCAGGTCCCCATATAGAGAAGGGAACCAGACGGACCTACCTCACAGGGCTGTTGAGTGGGTCTGGGAGGCAAGTCTGTGAAGGATTCTTCGAAATCCCACGGGTGCCACATCCGTGAGTGGTTTGACAAATGTGAATATGCTTTTATTTAATTTTATAAGGCTTATCTAACATGCAATAAAAGGGCTACTCCTCATCAACACCAGCTTCTCTCTTGGGCAGTTTGCTCTGGGAAGGTAAGAAAGCCATACCCTGGCTTCCCACCTCCTCTACACTGGGGAAAATATTTATTTTTCCTTCTTATTAGTGTAATCTATGATTATTGAAGGAAAATTAGAAAAATGCATAGGTGCAAAACGAATTTACGCTATACACAATCCCACCTGCTAGAGGGAATTAACGTTAACCTTTGGAATAATGCTAAGTAACCTACCTGTGTTGTTAACATAGGCATTCCAAGCATAAACCGGTTTGCTCCTGGAACACTGGTAGCCTCCAGTTTCAGGGACTCTTAGGCTTCCCCAGAGCTGTGTGTGACCCATGAATCTGGAATAACCACAGCAGCCAAGCCGAGGCCAAGAGGGTCAAAGCCAGAGAGGCCAGAACCAAGGGAGGACCCTCCGTGGGGCCAGATCCCCAATGTGGGGACAGAACCAAAGGGTTGAGCTGTGGCCACTGTGGGAAGTCCCTGTGATTCCTGAATGTCACAGGCCCGATGACTTCCTCACCCAAGTGATTCTCCCACTGCTTTCTGTGAGGACAGCCCTTATTTGACAGAAATGGACTCTATTTAATAAATTATAGGATTCTGTGAATAGTTCCCACGTGGCACATTTTGTATCTGCACTACAGAGATTTTCACTTAAGTGAGGGAAGCCCACCGTGAACGACCGGACTCTGAAAGGAAAGTCTCAGCCACGGTCCTGCCCACCTGGACATGCCCACTCATCCCTCTCCTTCCCACATTCCCTCAGCCACTGGGGATGAGAGAGCAGGGTGCTATCGGCCCTGATTTTATTAGCGTTTCCCATGTTCTGCATTCTGATAAGCGCAGTCGCTATTTCATTCTCCTTCCGTTGCCTGGTAAGCAGGGGGTCAAGACAATAGAAGGAAAGTGCCAGAATAGCATTTCTGTTGTTTATAAACTCCTCAGGCCGGTGGGTGTCCCTCAGCTTCTTCTCTCCGTGCCTCCCAGCTCAGGACCGGGCTCCCTGTGGACCGGTGTATGGATGAACAAACCAGTCCATGAGCAAAGGGGGGAAGGAAGTTTGTTCACTGGTGTGGAGATGAATTTCAGTGAATTTCATTTAACCGTGATCAGGAGAAATGAAGGCCGGGACAGGGGTGACCCCTCTCTCCTCAGAACCTTTCTCCCAAGGCCCCCAAGGTCTCTTGCTATCCTGGCCTCCCCTCCCTTCTCCTTGTCAGTGTATCTGTCAGAATTTCACATCCAAGATCGTCTATCCTCTCCCTATCTTCACCAGTTATCTTCCACTTAGTGTGTGGGCCTTAGCTAAACTGTCACTTCTCAGGGGGAGTCTTCTCAGATCTTGTTTCCCATACAGCTCACTGAACTCTTTTATAGCAACTTGTTAAGTTGTATTTTTGTACATTTATTTGTATGATTATTTGTTTAATATCTATTTTCTCCACTAGCCTGCTCTGTAGGGCAGAAGCTGTGTACATAGTGTGTTGCCTGCACTCAGGAAATACAATATTTATTGAATGGACACTCTCCACTGTCTTGTGAGCCTCATGGAACCATGTTTAGTTATAAGTAAAGGCCTTCCCTCCCTCAGTCAGAGCCCCTTTCCTTGGAGGCACCCACATTTCTTTTCCACTGGCTTCTCCCCCTCCACCCCCTCCCACCAACACACATTTGTTATTATTGTCTCCATTATCTCTGGAGGCCCACAGCTCACATCCCAGGCTGCCTGGGAAAAAGAGAGGTTGGCTTCCCCTCACTTCTCTTTGAACTTTCCAAGTGCCCCCAACATCATTCTTCAGCATGCCCGCCTATCCTGAAGCCTAGGAGATTTGTTCTTCCCCATATAGTGCCTTGGCTAAAACCCTCTAGGACTCTTCAGCCTTCCTGGATGACTCCAAACTGATTCAAAGACCGCCTTGCTTGTTTTCCATGATGCCGTTCCACCACCCCACTTTCCACCGACTTCGTATGTGCTTCCATTGCTGCTTGCATCATGCCATATTGTAGTATGCTTCTGTGTCTGTACCCACTCTGAGGCTGTGAGCGTCACAAGAGCAGATGCTGCTTGTGATGCTGCTTGTTTGTCTTGGCTGCCCTAGCCCCTGGCACCATGCCAGGCACAAGGCAGGCGCTCATTAAATGTGTGTTGAACAGAACAGAGTGGACTCAACCCTAGGACTTGAAGGAGGTCACCTCCACTCTGTTTAGACATCAACACACTTAACTGTTATTTCTGAAACCCTAAACTCAGAGCTTCCCACCTTCGGACTCCTGCCCCGTGCTCTCAGTCCTACAAAAATCTATCTTGATTAAGAAGATTAGGGATGCCAGCAACAGAAACCCACGGGTACAACACAAGTTTTATTAAAGAGCTAGCTTGTAGAAACCCAGGAAGAGCTGAACCATCAGACCACAGCAAGGGCAGGGATGGGGGCAGCCTGTTCACGGGCCTTTATTAACCCTAGTGCTGGCCATGAGTCTCACTGACTCAGCTTGGCTGTCTCCACGGGGCAGTTAGACCACGGGGGTCCTTGGACCACTAGGTCCTCAGCCTCTCATTAGGTGGCCTGATTCCAAAGTTCAGGATTCTCTTGGAGAAGGGGACCATCCCGTTCCAAACAGTTATGGTTGGAGTGAGTGGGAAGCAAAAGCATGTGGTCATTAGAGTTGCTCCTTTCGCTTGCTCTGTGCAGAGCTGATGAAGCCAGAAAAGGAGGCTGATGGTATTGATTAAGAGCCATGGGAAGTGACTGGTGAATTCACTCTCACTGGTACCTCTTGTCTTGTCTTCCCTCCCATTTCTCTAAGCCATTGACACCCACCGGCTTCCCAGCCTAGCACCTGTCCCTCGTGGGGGAGATAGCTGTCCTTTGTCAGGGGCCTGGGCATGCGCTATGAGTGAATGGCCTTGATGGAGGCTGGTAAAGTCTGCACGTGGTGCACTGGCTGGTTGGAGTTGGCTCTGTAGGTGTGAGGTGTTGGGTTGGGGGCAGGAGAAATGGGGAGACTGAGATCAGAGTGGAGGTGGGCTGGGAATGGGGAGCACAGTCCAGGGCTTCCCCAAACAGAGACGTTGAATAGGAAGAATATGGACAGGAGTCTTTGGCAGAGGAGGGTACATCAGGGAAGTCAAGCAGAGGCTCGGATAGTGAGCTTGTAAGGAGTTAGGTTTGCATTTCCCAAAATAGTTCTGTCAAAGGTTCTTTACCACCTCATGTTGGCCGAGTCCCACAACCTTCAGGTCTCCTTGCTGGATTTTTCCATGGGCTCTGCCTCTAAGCCTGAGTCCCTTTTCTAACAGTCTTTATTGGACTCTCGGGACACCTCTCCTCCCCTCCTCCATTTCTCATCCAACATCCTTAGTTGCACCATCTGGCTCTTTCACTGTTCCACTATGTCCTAACCTGGCTTCCAATCTTGGTCCTCTCTCTCACAAAAATACTGGAGAGTAAGAGACCGGACTCTGTTTGCTGGTGTGTGATCTTTATCAACTTAACTATTCCTAAGCTTCCATTTCCTGGACTGTAAATTGGGGGCTGTTAAGAGTCCCTGCTTCATGAGAGTTATTTTCTGGAATAAATACATTCTTGTGTGTAAAATGCTTACTGTGAGGTTGTGAGTATATTAAGTACTCAAAGAATGTCAGCTGCCATTACTTCTCCCTGCCCCCATCCCATTTAAATTCTCCTCTAGAGACAGATGACATCCAAATCTGAGTGTTCAACCTGAGCTCCGAATTTTCACCTGCTTGTTGAGAGGCAACACAGGGCAGAGGAAAGTGCATGGGCTTTGGAGGGGGCAGCCCAGGGCGGGATTCCTGTTCAGCGCTCACAGCTGTGGACTTTGCAAAGGGACTTCATCGGAACCCCTGCTCATCTTCTTACCCTTAAGGGGGTTAATGAAACTACTCTGGAGTGGAATAAGCTTTGCCATTTCTATTTCCTCCATGGCACTTAGCATCCTATATAATAAAAGCCTCATATGCAAATTGTCTCCTCAACTGGGAGTTTGACCAGGAGTTCAACCAGGGTCGGGGCTGGCAGCTGCAGGCAGCCAGGGTAAGGGAGCACCCTGGCCAGCAGCCAACAGCCACTAGGGACCCTACCTGTGCATGAATTTTGTGCACCAGGCCTCTAGTGTTCTATAGTTACATCTTTCTCCATGCTCTCCCCCAACCAAGGGAAAGTAAAGTCCTTAAGGAGCCTTGCCTTCTGTTCCCTACCCTGTTCCTTGCCCCAGCACCCTTCTGACAGAGGCTCAATAACACTAGTTTCTTATTCACTTTCTCTCCTATATTCCTCAGACTTCTCAAAACTAACATATACCAAATCAAACAACCAGTCATTTCCTTGCTAGACCGTACCTCTTAATTGACAAATATTTATTAAGTGACAATTCTAAGCCAAGCAGAGGGCTAAGGGCCAGATCAGACAAAAGACTGATGAGATATTGTCCTATTTGTGAAAATGTTTACTGTCTACTAGGGAGATGAGTAATGACACTGGAGCGTAGTATTTGCAATAATAGAAATAAAGATCCTTCACATAGAAGGAGCCTCAAGCATCAAGAAGGGACAACCTATTCTGACTGTAGGGATGGGAGGAGGCTTCTCAGTGGAAGTGACCATTGCACAGGGTGTTGATGAGAGTAGGAATTTGCCAGGCAGAGAAGACCGCCAGATTGAAGGAAGGGTATCGTCAGAGGCATGAACTAACATGGTTGCATGTTCAGCTGGAATGGAGGGTTTAAAGGGATAAATGAGAATAGAGAGCTGAGACCATCTGCCCCATTTTTTAAAATGGGAAATTTCACAAACATACAGATATAGAGAAAATGCTATAAAATCCACTTCTACGTGATGGTCATCCAGCTTAAACAATTATCAATTCAGTGGATAGTCTTGCTTATTTCTAACCCTACCCACTAAACTCCCATCCCATTGTTTTTTTAGGGCACAAAGTTTTCTTTAAATATTTCTTTTGGGGATGGGGCACAACACTTCTCAATTAAGAGAAACATTTTTTTAAACAGTACAGAAGATATATATATATATATATATATATATATATATATATATATATATACACACACACACACTGAGTGACCAGATTATTATGATCTCTGAACCCATAATAATCTGGCCACTCAGTGTATATCATATGTAATAAAAGAGTAATATGCAAATTGCCGCCTTGACCAGAAGTTCGACCAGCAGGCAGGTGGGCCAACCACCCATGTCCCCTCCCACCAGCCAGGCTTGCCGGGCCCCACCCATGCACAAATTCATGCACAGGGCTCTAATAATAAACTGGCCACTCAGTATATATATATTCATGCCATAGATTCACAGGGAGTGGGTTGCAACAGCTCAGGCTCCTTTCCTTTGGTTCTCACATAGTGAGCTTCTCTGGGTGGAGCAGGCTGGCCCTTCAGTTGAACCCAAGTACCTTTCTCTTTGGCTTCATTTTTCTTCACATGTTTCAGGAAACTATTGACTGTTAATGTGCTTAATATGCTCAACACACACATTAATTCTCTTGGCAAGATTACAACAGTGCCCACTGCATGCTGGGTAACATTGTAGACTCATCCAGTTTTGCCAAGGGAATGTTTGTAGACATCCCTTGATTTCTACAATATCACTTTTCTTGTAGATTCAGATGTATGCGGCCAAAGAAACAATTCCATGTTTTCTAAAAGACCTAGCCAATGTATAGTGTATAGCTGGCGCCTCACCTCTTTCCTTTGTGTTGGCCATTTTGTGAAATTATTGGAAGATGGTGGTTCTAGCCAAAAGGCCCCTTCCATTATTTTAATGCAAATCCAAGACATTAAATCATCTAATTCACAAATGCTTTAGTATTTTGAAAAGATAAAGTATATCCTTCTATTTTCTTCTTGCAAATGAGTCACAATATACTCTAACATTGCAACTTCCCTATCTGATGACTGAGCTGTGTCAGGATATATAGAGTGGCCTCCCTCTTTTAGGAAGCTACCTAGTGTTGCATTTGTGAATATACCACAATTAACTTTGCTGGTTTCCAACTGAGGGACATTTAGGTTGTTTCCAGTCTCTTAATATCAAAGGAAAGCTGAGAAGAATACCTTTGAACATACATGTTTGTCTATTGAGGGGGATATCTACAGGTTAAATTCCTAGATGCAAAATTGCAAGGACTTTGTACATTTTGAAACCTGACAGGTGATCCCTCTTTGGCCTAAAAGGTGCTTTGGATGGTAAGACAAGGATATTTTCTTTGTTCAGGCTTGTGACATTCTGAAATCCTCTCTGCCCCTCCTCCATTTAATCAATCATATGCCCTACCAACTCAACTCCTCCCAGTCTGTCCATCTTCCTCCTTCCTTCATCCCCACTGCTGTGGTCCTGGCTCAGGCCTGCATCCTTTATCATCAGGATGGCTGCAACTATCAACTCAAAGTATATTCGAATCCTAACACAGGAATGGAATCATTCTCTTGCTGAGCCACTTCGGCTGGTGTCTCACCATGTACAATATTAAAAAAACATACACACACCAATTTCCTAGCCTGCCTGCCTTTCAATGCTTTCCAGTTTGTCCCTAACTTCTCCCTCATTTTTCATACACCTTACTGGTAGACTTCATTGAACCCGGATTCTGGTGCTTTCCTTGTGCCCCCACCTCTCTCTTTCCCTTCTTTGTCTGATGTAGAAATCTTGCTCAACTTTTAAGGTAAATTGAAGCTCCACCTCCTCATCCACGCAGCATAAGGCCACTAGTTAACTTGAATTCTAATCTTGACTTTCTTTGGGGGGATGTCAATCCTCCGGAGATTCAGTTTTCGTCTGTTAAATAAAGACAAAAATACCAACCTTGTTGTGAGGTTACAGCAGGCGTCAATAAAAGGTAATTCTGATCATGTCCGTGGTCACTGACCTTCTCACCGGAGCCCCTGCTTCTACCTGGCTGCGTTAGCTTGTGTTACCGCTGTTTGTGGACAAGGCCGTCCTGACCACTAGACTGCAAGCTCGCTGTGGGCAAGGCTTGTGATGTGCCTCTGGATACCCCAGCCTGGCAGAGAGTCTACTTAAAATAAGCGGAGAAAGAGACAGAGATAAACGTGAAAAAAGATGAAAGATGGGCAGACAAGCAGAGAGGGGCTGGAAGCTTAGGCTTCCTCTGAAATCTCGGCCCAGCGCCAGGGGCGGAGTCTGGCCCGGGGCGGGGCTTGGGGCAGGACCCGGGGGCGGGCCCTCGGCCTGGGGGCGGAGCCTAGGGCGGACCTCGGCCTGGGGGCAGGGTCTGGGGGCGGACTCTCGGCCTGGGGGCGGGGCCTGGGGCGGACCTCGGCCTGGGGACGGGACCGAGGGCGGACCCTCGGCCTGGGGCGGGGCCTGAGGCGGACCCATTGCCTGGGGGCGGACCCTCGGCCTGGGGGCGGGGCCTGAGGCGGACCCATTGCCTGGAGGTGGACCCTCGGCCTGGGGCGGGGCCTGAGGCGGACCCATTGACTGGAGGCGGACCCTCGGCCTGGGGGCGGAGCTTGGCGCGGCCCCGCCTCGGTCCGTCAGCGAACGAGGTCCCCGGGCTCGGCGCGGAGCGGTGCAGCAGGCGCTGCCTCCAGGCTCCTCGCAGCGGGCGGTCCGGGTGCGGGCGCCGAGATGCGCCCCCTGCTCCGCCTGCTCCTGGTCTTCGCCGGCTGCACCTTCGCCTTGTACTTGCTGTCGACACAGCTGCCTCGCGCACCCACCCGGGGCTCCGCCGAGGACGCTGAAGGCAGGTGCGTGGCGGGGACCGGGGTTCGGGTCAGAGAAAGGGAGACAGTTTCGGGGATGGGGTCTGGGAATCTGAGATTCCGGTTCTCGGATCGGGGGCGACGGGGCTGGGTCTTGGGGTCTGGTCTCGGGCCGGCTGGAGACTCGCGGCGCTTTCCTCGGCGGAGCCCCCTCGCGGCTGGGTTCACGCCTTGGCCTCGCCCGCCCGCTCGCATTTCCAGGCTCAGTCCTCACTCACCCCCTTGTGCAGCCGACCCTCACCCCTGTTTGCACCCGCAGCCCCTTTTCACGACTGCTCTCAGCCTCCCCCTCACTGAGGTCTACCCTGGGGACTGGAAGGCTTTCGGACTTTCACGTTATTCAGAAATTAAGGATCGGGTCCTCCCTCTTCCTGACTCTCCACTGGACCAGGCAGCAGGAGGCGGTGTCATACCGGCTGGGCTGGTTTGCCTGGAGAGCTGGTTTGTAGATTTCATGGGCCTATGCCTGGCACAGCCTTGCGTGCAGGATGTTTCTGATATTTGCATATTAGGACAGTCGTTTTCAGAATTTGCACTTTTTTTGCTCTAGCTGAGAGGACTTTGCTGTGGGTGTCGGGCGAAAAGAAGCATTTTGGTGAGGACGAGGAGGGTTTGCTAATAATCGATCATTGATGGATGCAAGAGTTGTCCCGGTGGCAGCGGCAAAGTAGCCTTTACACTTTCCAGTAACCCTTGTCCGGGACTCAGAGTGCGCCCAGGACCAGATAAAGATCAGGGTGAAAAGCCAGGCTCTTTGAAAGGACTGGTTTCAAGGCTGGCGTGTTATCAAGGTTATGTTTATGGTGCAAGACAAATAGACTTATGCAGAGAATCTTTAGTTGGCATGTTTCTGTCTGATAAAACCAGCCCTTTTAACTAGTAACGTGGGAGCGGTGGGAAGATTGAATTGTCCTTGGCCTAAAGTTTGTGGGGGAGGGAGTGCTCCTTGAAAGGAAAGCAATTTAGGACATTCAGTCCTTGCTTGGAAATTAATCCATTTGCTTATTAAGAATAAACTGTAAGCACTGGCTGGTTTGGCTCAGTGGATAGAGCGTCAGTCTGCAGACTCAAGGGTCTCAGGTTAAAGGCATGTACCTTGGTTGCGGACACATCCCCAGTGGGGGGAGTGCAGGAGGCAGCTGATTGATGTTTCTCTTTCATTGATGTTTCTGGTGCTCTCTCCTTCTCCCTTCCTCCCTGTAAAAAATCAATAAAATTTATTTTAAAAAAAGAATATATGAGCTTAACCAGTGGTCAAGGACAACAGGGGGATGGGGGCACGAGTGGGGAGGGGTGGGGGATAGGAATGGGGGGGGATGAAGACAATAATGTGATACCTTAATCAATAAAGAAATTTAAAATAAATAAATAAATAGAATAGACTGTAAAACCTGAGAGGTGAAAGGGAACTTAGTGATGATCCAATACGGAGCCTCATTTTTCAGATAAGGAGACAGAGGCCCAGGGACCAGCCCAAGACCACACAGCTGGACAGGAGCAGAGCTCAGGTGCTGCCCCATCTCTCTTGCTTCCACCCCAGGGCTCTTCTGTCCGCTCTGCTGTGTTGTCAGGTCTCCCACCCTGGGGGCTCCCGGCAGGGGTATATTCCCAGCAAACCAGAAGAGGAGCACATTTATAAGACGGCACCATGAGTAACGTTCGTAGGCACTGGTTTGATCTGGACTCACGTTTCCATGTGCTTTTCCAAACCCCCAGGTCCCTGTGGTTCCCCTCGGACTTGGCTGAGCTGCGGGAGCTCTCCGAGATCCTTCGAGACTACCGGAGGGAGCATCAGGCCTACGTGTTCCTGCTCTTCTGCAGCGCCTACCTCTACAAACAGTGCTTTGCCATCCCCGGCTCCAGCTTCCTGGTCAGTGCCCTGTCCTCCTTCTGTGCCTGTCAGGAAGCCTCCTTCTGTCTTTGTAGGGGGGTCCTTAGGCTGCAAATCACACAGGGCAGAGGACAGACTGCTGTGACTACCCTGTTTGGACAGCTTCTCCTGTGGCAGGCACTGTCCTAGTTGTTTTTCCTGCGTGACCTTATTTAATGCTCCCAACAGCCTTATAATGCGGGGAGAAGATAAGTTACTGTCCAAGGGGACGAGGTGAGGAGGGGGAAGGGCTGGGATCTGCACCTGCTTCTGCTTGGCTCCAGAGCCTGCCTCTCCTCTCAGGTTTGCTGCCTTTGTTGCGAAGGCATCGAGAGCCATAGAGCACTGTCCTTGTGAGACATACCGATGTACCTAGGCTGGGTCAACTCTCCTCCTCACCGCTCCAATGATGTTCTGCATTTTGGCACTGCTTTTTTAAAAATATATTTTATTGATTTTTTTACAGAGAGGAAAGAAGAGAGCTAGAGAGCTAGAAACATCGATGAGAGAGGAACATAGACCAGCTGCTTCCTGCACACCCCTCACTGGGGATGTGCACGCAACCAATGTACATGCCCTTGACTGGAATCAAACCTGGGACCTCTCAGTCCGCAGGCCGATGCTCTATCCACTGAGCCAAACCGGTTTTGGCTTGGCACTGCTTTTGACTTTTCAAAAAACAATCTGTTTTCGGGGGGCCCAAGTCCTTCTGAACGAGGCCACTTCCTCCCAAATCTCTTTGTTTTGTCTGTGAGTTCCTGAGTTCCTTAAGCATAGGACCTGTTTCTTATTCTCAGCACTTGTATTCCTTTGCCTGACGCAGGGGGGTGTCTTCTTAAGTGTTTGATGAACAAATGCAAGTTGTTTGTGGTGATGTTAGGCTCTGGGGGATCGGGACGTTTCTCTGATGTGGGGAGAACAAGTCATTCTGACTTTCCAGGTGGCCCCTCGGGAGCCACAGTCTTAGACCCGAGCTTGTTCTCCGGCTGTTGGATGATTTTCATCGTTGCCATCTCAGGTTATACAGAATTCTCTCTGCTCTCCTCCCAGCAGCTTTTAAATCCTCACCCCTGGTTTAAAGGTGAAGAGAGCAAAGCCAGGGTTGTGGGTCTCAGCTCTTTCATCACTTTCCACTCACTTATTTAAAATGGGAGTTGGGTTTTGGCCCGAAGGGTGGAGGGAACTCATGACTCGACCCCCAAGACTGGTCGCTGCCAGATGTGCTTGAGGCTGAGGATTTGTTTTCTTTGCAGAACGTGTTAGCCGGTGCTCTGTTTGGGCCGTGGCTGGGGCTTCTGCTGTGCTGCGTGCTGACTTCGGTGGGCGCCACATGCTGCTACCTGCTCTCCAGTATGTTTGGCAAACAGCTGGTGGTCTCCTACTTTCCTGACAAAGTGGCCCTGCTGCAGAAGAAGGTAAGGGGCAGGGGTACATCCGAGCACTGGGCTCCCATCAGGGATCTGGGGGTGGAGGGAGGGGCAGGGATTTCCCACCATGTTCCTCCGCCTGCTTCTGGGAGTCCTAGGGGTTCTTTCGATGTCTCCAAGAGGCACGAAACTGGGATCAAACCTCAGCTCCATCATTAGCAGCTCTGGGACTTGAGACAAGTTCCTGACTTCTCTGAACCTCAGATACCTGTGTTTTTGTTTGTTTGTTTGTTTGTTTGTTTGAAATATATTTTATTGATTTTTTTACAGAGAGGAAGGGAGAGAGATAGAGAGCTAGAAACGTCAATGAGAGAGTAACATCGACCAGCTGCCTCTTGCACACCTCCTAATGGGGACGTGCCCACAACCAAGGTACATGCCCTTGACCGGAATCGAACCTGGGACCTTTCAATCTGCAGAACGACACTCTACCACTGAGCCAAACCGGTTTTGGCAGATACCTCTGTTTTAAAAGCAAGGAAAACAGTCTCTATCCTGGGGGTTGTTGGGAGGTCTGGGGACAGAATAGATAAAGTATCTAGAACCGTGCCTGGCACCAAGAGATTTTCAATACCCGGAGATGCTTCCTGCTTCCTAATGCCTTGTCTTCTTTGGCTACAGGTGGAGGAGAACAGAAACAGCTTGTTTTTTTTCTTACTGTTTTTGAGACTTTTCCCCATGACGCCAAACTGGTTCTTGAACCTCTCGGCCCCGATTCTGAACATCCCCATCGGGCAGTTCTTCTTCTCCGTGCTGATCGGTAAGAAGCTGATGGAGTGAGGGAGTCTTCAGAGTTGTCTCGCTGGGGCGCTGCCCTGTGTTAACAGCCACATGGCCACATGTGTGCATCTGAGGCCCACGAAGAGCATCCTCAGGTGTTAGCTAAAATCCTGATTTTACATCTACTCAGGCTTGAACAAGAAACCTCAGAAAAACACTTTCAGGAAAAATCGGACTGTTCATCCTACAGCCGTATTTAGCACCTAGGTGTGCCAAGCACAGTGCAAGACATTGGGTTAGACGCAGTGTTTCCCAAAGTGCGGTGCGCGTACCCCTAGGGGTACGGGAAGAGTTTGGTGGGGATATGCACTGCACCGTGCTAGTACAAGGGGTACTTAGCATTACGAAAATTATAGAAGGGTACACATATGTCAAAAGTTTGGGAAATACTGGAGAGGATAATTTATAAAGCACATGACTTGGCCCATGCTAGGTGCTCAGTAAATACGAGCAGGAAAAGCAGGGTTGGAAGGAAGGTTATGGGGCAGAGAAAAGGAACAAGAGCAGAGGACTTCCTGTCTGGCTTTGGCCCCTGTTTAATAAGACATTAGGAAGAGCAGGTACCACGGGGCTCCTTCCTGCCTCCTGATGGCTGTGTGACCTTCAGCAGGCTGCTTCGCCTCCGCGGGGCCCTTGGCCAGATGAGGGGCGAGAGCAGCGTTTCTCAATGTATAGGCCATGGGCCACCTTTATCAGAACGCTAAAGTGCTAACATCCTATTAAATCAGTGACTTATTTTCTCCTGGAAATAAATGATTTTTTTTTTTAATAGTCCTCACTTAAATCTTCTTTAGAGCATGGATGGAAAGAACACTCAGGGCTTCTAGGTCAAACAAAACAAATCTGTGGTTGAGCAGCTGCTATTAATAGGGGATTCTTGAGAGAAATGGAGATATTAACACGAAGCAAAATCAACCACAGTTAATTCTGGTCATATCGGCTTTCAGACAAAGTGCCTTGGTTGGCGGCCTGTAATTGTCCAGGTGGCTCAGAGCTCAGACAGACTCTGGAGACCAGAGCTCCAGTCTCCCCTCTAACCAGCTGTGCAACCTGGAGTGACTAAGATCTTGAGGTCTGTGCTCATCTGTGGAATAGGGGTGGATCACCAGGGGGTCCCAAGCCAATCGGAGTGGAGAGGCTTCTAAAATGCAGGCTCCTGATGCTCTCTTAGACCCAGGTAACCAGAATCTCTGGGGTGGACACGTTTCTGTTCACTTCACCAGGAGATGGTTACGTCCCCAGCCTGTCTAGCCACCACTCAGACTTTTGGGGTCCAATAACTTGATGACTTCTTAGAAACAGTGTAGACCATGAAAAGCACATGGTGGTTTTTATATAATGTATACTGTAGGTCTCATAATGCTGGTGCTGCTCCTTACTTGGCTGCTCAGAACCAAATTTGGGGCCCACCTCTAGCTAGTGGGTAATCCTTATTCATTTTTGTCCTAACTCTACTCCCTTATTTTATTCTTCACTCATTTTTGGTTTTGCTCTTCACATCTTTTTAAAAAATATATATATCGTATTTTATTGATTTTTTTACAGAGAGGAAGGGAGAGGGACCGAGAGTCAGAAACATCAATGAGAGAGAAACATCGATCAGCTGTTTCCTGCACACCCCCCACTGGGGATGTGCTACAATCTAGGTACATGCCCTTGACCGGAATCGAACCTGGGACCCTTCAGTCCGCAGGCAGACGCTCTATCCACTGAGCCAAACCGGCTAGGGCTTAACATCTTTTTAATCTTATTGTAGCGTATGTATTTTTGTAAACAAGCTCAAGTCCTTTTGTTAAATAAGGCAGGTGTATGTGGGAAGTGAAGACAGGAGGGAGAAAGTAGAGAAGACGACGGGGAAGAGGGGATATGTTTAGGAGTGAAGAGCTGTGAACTTGGGGTGACATTTCGGAACGGTTAATGTTCTTCCTTTTCCTGCACGCGCGCGCGTGTCCACCCCCCAACCCCTCCGCCCCCAGTAACAGGCCCTCCTCTCCCTTTTCTTCCAGGTTTGATCCCCTACAACTTCATCTGTGTGCAGACAGGCTCCATCCTGTCCACCCTCACCTCTCTGGATGCTCTTTTCTCCTGGGAAACAGTCCTTAAACTGTTGGCCATCGCTCTGGTGGCCTTAGTCCCCGGAACCCTCATAAAGAAGTTCAGTCAGAAAGACCTGCACTTGAGCGAAACAAGCAATGCCCATCATCTAAACGGCAGGAAGGTTATGTGATCTGGATCTTTTTGGTTGTGTGTCCCTGGACTCGACTGCTTCTGTGTGTCGTGGGTGTGGTCCTCTACAGCCCCTCCTTGTTTTTAAATTACCCTCCACGGGTGGTTTGGACAGTATTCATCCGTGCGCCATGTCTCGCCATGAAGGACACTGCGCTGTAGAAGGGGTGTTACATCAGGTTCTCAAACTAACCCTGGTCAGTAGGACACTCTGTGAACTGGATAGCCGCTCCGGAAACCCTGTTTCTATTTTGTTGAGAAACAAGGAGCTCAGGACCGTCTCTTGTGTTTATTTGCCTCTTGCCAAGCCTGGAGCTGCCTCGGAGAGGATGCGACTGGCCTTGTCCAGAGTGCCTCCTTTGCGAAGTGATAGGCTGTAGTGACAGGTGTTTCTTCTGTCCTTCTGTGTGTTTTTTTGCGGATGACCTACCTCTTTCATAAACCAAGGGAAAGAAGCTGCTTAGAACATCTGTGTACAGTTCAAGGGCGCAGGGATTTCCGCGATGCTCTCTGTGTTCGGGCACCCCGAGGTTACCATACGTATCAGGTTCCCTCTTGGATGCGTGGCCTAACAATTAAGCTGATTGCAGACAGATTATTAAATATGAATGGAGCACACTCGGTATGCTGTGGATACGCTCTGGAGAAACTCTCATCCCTCTGGACAGTGCAGGGCCCTTGACCCACCTGCACTAAATGACAGTACATTTTCTAGCCTGTGCTTTCTATGTGTGAATCCCTTCTCCTGCTAGGAGAATGGATGCCCAGATATTGCCCTCTGGATGTTTTTCAATTTGTCATTTGCCAAGAATAGCTGAGCAATTATGGCATTTTATCTTTTAATTCTAAGAGGAAAACTTGGTTTGGGGTTTCTGTCTTGTGCTGTGTTTCGATTATCTGCAGCTGTTGTTGCTTCCGAGAGCAGCAGTATTGAATTGGACAGACCCGGTTTCATACTTCCAAGGTCAGAAGGACCTTGGCTCCTAAACTGACCAGCTCTGGGATCCTGTATCCGACAAGGAGTAACCCGCCATTTCTCACCAGAACTGTTGCGCTTGTGCATGACCTGCTGGGTTTTTGGTTTGGGTTGGCCAAGAATCTTGCCAAGGCTTTAATCTAGGCCACCTGTTCCACATGAATTCTTGGGAATGAATTCCCAAGCATTGTTTTTTGGACTTGTATGAAAAAAAAAATACGGTATACAAAACAAAAACAGAAGAACTTTTTAAAGATGTGTTGCTTTAAAAGAAGCTTGATAACAAGGGTGGGCGTGACGAGGAGGCCAGCTGGACTTGGAAACCTGTGGCTCTCTTCTCCCGGAGTCGGGGGAGGCAGGGAGGAACCGGAAGCTGTCCCACTTTGTCCTTCACCAGGACCCTCGGGTTGGTCTCTCCCTCATCCCCCACGGTCTTGCAACAATGTGCCTTATCGGCTGTGAGTTTACAGGCAAAGCAAGCTCCCAAATAAAGGATATAAATGTTCTGTGTGGTATGTGTTTGTACATGTTGCTAACTTTCAGTTCCCCTCGCTAGTGGGCATCAGGATTGGCTCGGAATCCAACAGTCCAAATGGTGTTCCAGCTCTCTACTCTCAGGCCTTTTACCAATATTATTTTTTAGAAGCCACATTCTCCTTTTCACCTTTCCCCTCTCTCTGCTCACTTGATAGTGGGGTAATTAGTAACACTAACTGTAAGATGGGCTGCAGGCAAACCAGAGGGAGGAAGCAGAGCGCCTGTCTGGGCTATTTCAGAATAACCAAGAAGGGACTGTAACGAAACAAAATAACAGTGCTCTCTTCCTTCTGTGATGTGTGCAACAAGAGCCACCGAAACCAGCTTTGCCATCCTGGCTGCAGGAAACCCGGGCGTGTGAAGTCCTCCTTTCCCTAAGTCCTGACAAATGCTGAGATTTGTGAAGGCAGCTCTCAGGACACAACCAGAGCCTTTAGGAAAAAACGACCAAAAACGGGTGAAGTACAGTTTTTAATTCCATGCATGTGTTTGCTGTGATAGTCGCTCTTGTTCCCATGGCTGTATAATTGTTTGGTACAAAGCGAGCTGGCATCGAACCATTACAAGGTGCAGAGGAACTAACAGGGTGGCAACCACAGGGAAACAGATGAGGGGGCTCATTTTGAGACCTGATCACAAATAAGAAGTTAATTTGCTCCAAATGAATGGGGAACTCAGATTATTAAAGACTCGAAGTGAGTCTTCCCACTTCCGGAGTCAGAAGACTCTCCGGTGACACGATAGCTGGGATTGGGCAACCATTGGAGGACCCTGCCTGCCTGGGTCAGGAGCCAGCATCCCGTAGAGCGTGGGCCTGTGATTCTGCCAGGAGCCAGCATCCCGTAGAGCGTAGGCCTGTGATTCTGCCAGGAGTTTCCTTACAGTGGCCTTGCCATCTGCTCTATGTGAACTCCTGCCATCATGCTTGGGTCATGCGACAGTTAACCAAAGCCCTAGCTTCTTTGGGAGGTATCTCTCTTTCTCAGAGAAGCGATTGCAGAGCTCCCCTCTTCTGCCCCCGGTCCCAGGGAAGTGTTCTGGGTTCCACAGGGGTCCTGTCCTCGGCAGTCTAGTTCATTCCATTTGAATAGGTGCTTGCAGTATGGGCTGTAACATGCTGACAAGCAGACTGATGTGATTCTTGTGTGCTAGTCTGTTGGTAACAAAGGTGGAGTGAATATCCTAGGACCTTTATCCTATGAAATCTGCAAAGAAGGAAAATCTTGCGACCTGGAAAGGCACTGAATTCATACCGATAGTACAAGTCAAGGTCTTAAAAAGAATGTCACATAGTTTTGAAATATTAGGAACTGGGATTTAACATATTAACTGTGTCTAAAAGGTGAGGGAGGAACATGCTTATTTAACACAATGCAATACAGTGAGTGAAGAGACACATTTTGGAATTTGATTTGTCAGCAATTGGAGGTGATTCCATTGGAATTGTAGTCCCAAAGGCAGGGATGGAGGCAGGTGGCCTTTTCCTGCTGATGGTGCTGTCCCCTGAGAGCCATAGGGTGGGTCCATAAGGAGAACACTGGTGTGGTCTGTCATTTTCCCATCAGGGCTAACTCCAGCTCTCAAACCACTGTTAGGAAACTGATTATGCGCTTAGAGCTGGGATGGTAAACATCCCCTCCAGAGCAGTTCTAATCAGGTGGCAGTTGTGTTGTAAGAGGTTCTGAACATGGTGAGCAGTGAATAATGTTGGTCTTGGGTGTTCAGAGTGTGGATTGTAGGTGGTGGTATTTTGGTTTCTGGCTTAATGGCAAAACAAAATAACAGAGCACTACTGCAGAACAGAGCGGGAATTCCTAGGTTTCCAAGTATCGATATTATGTTCCATTTTGGAGAATTCAGTTCCAGGAACTTCAAGCAGGAACATTTTAAGGGGAAACAAATGAGACATAAGGGGACAGGGGAACAAGAGTAAATTACTTGATCAATACGAATGCACTTACACTGAAAGGATGTCAGTGCCCCCCAGTGGGCGGGCATTTAAAATTAGTTGGTACCAGGAAAACCCCAAACCATCAAATCCATTATTTAGGGCAAGAGGAAATTTAGCACAAAGAATCCCTGAAGTGGATGTCTAGTACTAAAAATATCCGTAATTCTTGAAGACGGATGTGTTGATACTAAACTTTGAAGATATCTGACCTTAGGTAAGCCACAGGACCATCTTCCAGCAGAGCTAGCGTCTTCACTTTTCCAAGTAGGAGCTCTCCACAACCTCCAAATACATCTAAACTTTAAAGCCTATTATAATTTCAAAGTGGATGCAGGCTTCTTAGTTTCTCTGCTAAGCTATTTATTTATTTATTTATTTATTTATTTATTTATTTATTTAGAACTCTTCAACCAGATATATTTAAAAAAATTATTTTTCCCCCCTTAAACTCCACATTCTTAATTTTTCAGGAAGAGAGAGAAATGGCATCAATGCAACATCCTCTGGCTACTCCTGATTGTACAGGACTAAAACCATTCTCAGGAGTCCCGCCCACCAGCCAGTAAGTTCAAGAATTCTTCAGGTGTGCCGAAACCAGTTTGGCTCAGTGGATAGAGCATTGGCCTGCGGACTGAAAGGTCCCAGGTTCGATTCCAGTCAAGGGCATGTACCTTGGTTGGGGGCACATCCCCAGTGGGGGTTGTGCAAGAGGCAGCTGATCGATGATTCTCTCTCATCGATGTTTCTAATTCTCTATCCCTCTCTGTAAAAAATCAATTATATATATATATAAATTCTTCAGGTGTGGTCCAGCTCAAGGACATCTGGCCCACCCTGACAGAGGGGCTTGCTTGCAAGATCTGACAAAGCACAAAATATTGAGCAGGTGATCTGGGGCTCCCAGGCCTTGTAAAGAGCTTCGTTAGTGCCGTTCAGGTAACTGAACCAAGCACATCCTCCCTGACACGCTCTGCTGTCCACTAGCCTCTATCTCCACAGACGTAAGTGTGCAAAGGTTCGACACGTGGCGGATGGAGCCAAGTGTGGCTGGGCAGCCTTTGAAAGCACACCTTTTACCAGCTTTGAGAAAAGAGAAATGGTGGGGAGTGGGGTTCCCTGAAGACAATAAGATGTTCTTTCCCTAGCTCAACTCCTGGCACCTGCCTCAGGCAGTGTTTTCCTGTGAGAGGGCACCAACAAAGCTAACGGTTAACACTGCTATCAATCCCTGCCCCTCTGGAAGGTGAGGAAAGCTTCCTAGAGCTTTACCTGTGTAGCTGCAAAATGCTAGTGGGATGAGGACAGTTTAACCTATACATTTCTGTTCTAGAGCTAAATAGATTGAGCTTTAGTTTGTAAGAAACAAGTATGCATGGCAAGAGGGCTCACCTTCTGCCATAGGCCTTTTCCCAGCCGAGGTTCAGGTTCTGTGGAAGCTGGAGCCTGCAGTACCTGGTACCACACCCCTAATGCACCCTTTGCCCTACGCAGTCAGCACTCCTTCAGCCTTGTTTTTAACCAAATACCTCAACATCTGTTAAGCAGTTTTAAGAGGAATTGTTATTCAGAAGACACGATCTAGAAATAGATGGAAATCAGAAACAAAGGCCCATCTGCAACCCAAATTAAAACTCATTATCTTGCAGCCAGTCAAAAACAGATGCTACATGAGTGTGGACATTCATCCCAAGGGGGTTAAACTTTCAACCAACAATGAAGCTGGAAATCATAGTCCTGAGAGGTTTACAGTCATCAGGATTGAAGAATTAGTTCTCAAATTTCCTGAGCTCTTGATTTAATGCTCTTCAGAAGAGTTCTCAAACACACCAACTCAAAATTGTCCTGGGACCTCAGGCAGGCAATAAGGGGCATAGAGAAGGCAGTTCTCTTTTTGACCTAAAGATACTGTTCTTCTCTGAAGCCCCTACTCACTTCTACTGAAAATATAATGTTTCACATGGAACTTTATTGAACTCCTGACCATACAGTGAATGACTGAAGATTCAATGCTGCATATGACCCTAACATGCTCATACAGTTATCCCAGATAGGTATATGGCATTGTCATGACAGAGTCAAGATGGGAAATTAGGAAACTTATTAAGAATATGAGGTGTCAGGAGAGGGTTTCCTAGGAAGATTGTGTCTGGGAGATATAAGACAGATATTGACTTTTATATATGGCATGACATATATAAAATATATATGGCATGACATAAAATACATATATCATGTTTTGGGGTTTTTTTGCCACCACAGGTGGGCAAGAACCAGACCAGCTGAAGTGTCAGTGTTTTATGTTGGACAGAAAGGGGACACAGAGTTGTAGCTTAACTTTTCCCAGAAGTAATGACCCAGAGAGATTCACAGAATAGTGTGGTCTGAAGCCAGAGGACGCAAAATAGGGCTCTTTAAGGTCATACTTTTCCAGCCCTAAGAGCTGCTAAGTGACTAACCCTTTCTAGAATTTCTTTAGTCTTGTTATAGGATGACATCCCAGCTAAGTATTTTATGTCATGCCATATATATATATATATATATATATATATATATATATATTTTATTCTTTTCTTTCTGTTAGTTTTGTTTGTTTGTTTTTCTGCTACTCCCAAGTAGGAGAAAGCAGGTTGGTTTTGTGGGATCTGGCAGAAACAAGGTGACAAACTATGCTACCAGCTCTTGGAATTCTCTAACCCACAGGTCCCATGCAGAAATTCTCTATGTCTGTGCCTCTTAGGGAATTAAATAATTCTCTTTTTGCTTCTAGTGTAGTCTCATGATTTTATTTCTTAAGAAACTTGAGGAAGATTACAGCCTTTGAACTATTTGTCCATCCACTCAGTCATCTGCCCACCCAGGAGCTTCCACGATCAAGTCAAAGTCACAATGTACCCCCTGGGCTCCGGGGCAGAGCACACATCCTCAGATGATTGTTGCACACAGAAAATGAGGGGATGCACCTAAGATGAATACTGGAGAGCTCCCAAGTGGCAGTCTCATTTTCATTCCTTCATAAAAACCATAACAATTCATGATAATTCATGGTTAGCAATAAACACAATCATTGTGCTACACTGTAAACCACACCTTCTGATCGACAGAAAATGAGAATGACAATAATTACTATAAAATAAAATAACAATTATAATAATGCCATAACTTAAGATCTTTCATGTAGTCCAGCTACAGAACGTATACAAAATGGAATAATTTAATGCAAACAATACTGTTCTCTGAATAAGTTAGACATTTTCTTTCATCTTATGCAAGAGCTATAAATTAAAAGACAGTAAATTTTAAATTAATATCTCAACACAAATTGTAAACAAATGAGGGATCAGACAAGCAAAAGGAACTGCTCTCAATTCCCTCCTGCCTTTCCTTTTTGGCTGATGCGATCGGTGAGAACCGGAGGAGGGCAACGTTTCCACCTGCATTGGAATGGTTTAATGCCAGTGTATGTAAGTCTTCCCTAATGTCCAACACGATGCAGTGTCCAAGACTCTAGCCATCGCCTTCAGATCTTGAGCCTAGAGACATTGTTTGACAGTAATCTATTTTGGAGACAGAGACAGGAACTAGGCCAACATCTGTTTTTATGTAAAATTCTATATAAAAATTGGCTTACAGCTGAGGTCCCAGGATGTACCTTGGCATGCTTTTCAGAGCCCATGACATTGGATAGGAAGGACCTCATGCTTTGGACAAGGCAAAATCTTCCCAATTGCTGCTCAGCATTAGTTGTTCTTTGCACAGAGTCCCAAATCCAATGATTTAAAACTGCATTGATCCAAAGAGAAGTAAAATACGTTGCACAAATAACTTGGAACAAAAATGCTATCGTGGTGGGATATTGTGGTGGGGGTTGCCTTTGCAACTTGCTTCTTTTGCCTGTATTCTGATAGTGGAAGCAACTAAAGCTTTCATGATAGAATGAGTTAATAAGTGAAAACAAGGGAATGGTTTGGGATTGGACAAATTCACACACATCCTAGCTGCCTTCAAAGTCTGTTCTCCTGTTTGAATCAATATGACTCTAGGAGACAAGCAACCTGGTTCCACCTTCACTATGAGCTGAACTGAGAGGTTCTGACAACGGACTAGCACTTTTACAAATCCCATTCTTGCTTTTCTAATGCTGTGGTCAATGTCCTTTTTCTTTATCCTTCTCTTCTCAGAAGCCCCCCTCCCCCCTTTTTCCTAAAGGAAGCGGTCACCAGGTGGAAAGGAAATGGCTATGAGGAAATGGCACATTGGTCAAGGTCACACATTTGTCAAGGTAATGGCAATGACAGCATTTTAAAGGTAAATGTTTATCCAGGAAGATTCGACTCTATCTGTAACTCACACGACTAAATGCTGCTTAAGATAAATAAAAAAATGAAACCAGTTTTCAAATATACAGGCTTTTTTTTTTCCTCCTAGAGGAAGCACATGCTCTCAAAGACCTTGGGTGAAAGTATCTGGTTACCAAACCCTTCTAGGTAATTTTCCTCACCCAAAGGATAAGCTGGTTGAACTTAAATTTGGTCTTTTCACAAGTTACCCGGAATTGCTTTTCTTTTGCTGTTCTTTGTTTTTTAAAATGCTCAACATGTCTTGCTCTGGCTCTTCTTCAGTCACTTATGGTCAAAAGAACTGGTCCCCTGTTCAAGTAGCAATAATACCTCTTGGCCCCACAAATTACCCAAAATTTTGCCTCTAAATTCTACTTCTTTCTTCCTTCTTTTTTCCTCTCTCTCTTCCCCCCCCCCCAAGAAATTATTGTCTCTCTCTCTCTCTTTCTATCATATATAGTTCAATCTTTACAGTACAAAGTGTTAAAATGTCAAACAAAAATAAATATCAATGTTACAGTAGCTAGAATATTCAATAAAATAGATCCCTGCCATTCTTGATTGAAATGTTCTAAGTGAGACTTAGTTTCATTTGGATATTTTTTTTCCAGAGATTTGCAAAGTCTCACATTCCTGTTATTGCAGCTTATTTCTAGGGGTAAGAAAGATGGGGCAGCTCTCTCCCCAGACAAAAAGGCAGGGAGAGAGCGGGAGGAATCGGGTGGGGCGGATCTGAAACATCAGTATTGTCACGTCATCTTCAGGATGGGTGTCCTCTCATTACCAAGTAGCAGAGCTGTAGTGTTTATTGGTCCTCACTGTGGCATCAGAACATTCCCCATCTGAAGAGTCACAGTCCGATTCGTCAAACTGCATAGGATTCTGCAAAGTCAAGACAAAATAAAACCTCAGTTCATGTTCATAGCCACTCACGTATCAAACACATCCCACATGACAGGCTTTGGGCTACAGAGAGGAGACTAGGTCCTATCCTGGTGGAAGAAGACGACATGTGAAGATGATGTTCACGACAATGCTAGCAGTACCACCACAACCGCAATGTACAGCGTTTACTATGTTCCAGGCACGGGACATTCCTTGTCAGAGAGCCCATTTTTAATCCATTTAATCCTTACAACAGCCCCGTGAGACAGATGCTGTTACCATACCCGTTTGACAGATAAGGAGACTGACCCATGGAGAATTTAAGTGACTTGCCCAACAGCACACAGTACGTAAGTGGAAAGGCTGGGGTTCGATCTGGACAGTCAGATTCCAGGGTAGATGATTTCAACTACTGTGCTATCCTGCCTCTCAAAAGGCAGCACTGACCATGAACTAAAGTGGTACAGGTGCTTTGATAGCCTCATTAGGGGACAGTGGGGACATGGAAGAGGAAAGTTCAAACCCTACACCAGATTGGCCATGAGGCCAGGAGGAGGTGATGTTTGAGTGCCATCTTGGAAGGGAGGGTTCCTGAGCAGTTCATTGTTGGTGCTTCCTTTGGGAGATTTACCCTCATTTTTAGGAGCTCTGTTGCTCTGTGTACTTTTTTATTTTATTTTTATAAAATATACTTTATTGATTTTTTACAGAGAGGAAGGGAGAGGGATAGAAAGTTAGGAACATCGAGGAGAGAGAAACATCGATCAGCTGCCTCCTGCGCACTCCCTACTGGGGACATACCCGCGACCAAGCACATGCCCTTGACCAGAATCAAACCTGGGACCCTTGAATCTGCAGGTCGACGCTCTATCCACTGAGCCAAACTGGTGGGGCTACTCTGTGTACTTTTACTTACTTCTTGGAGGCAGTTGTTGTATCTCATATGCTCAGTGATCATTGTAAAGGACCTCAGGACCCGAGCATGTCATAACTCAAAGAGCTACAGGAAGGGACCAGTGCCGAGAGGAGGAGAGAGGGGTGGCCCGCACCTCATAGCCACGCTGCTCCGCACACAGCTTGCCCAGAGACATCTGCGTCTTCACACGGCGCACGGCACACTCCTTGTCGGAGAGCCCGTCTGAGTGTGAGGAGATCTCGATGGGAATCTCCGGCGTCTGGGACAGCAGGTCGTCCAGCCTCTCCGCCAGGCGGTCTTCCAGTTTATCAGCAAACTCATCAGGGCTGTTGGAGTGGTCACTGGTGTTCCCCTCCTCACCATCGGACACAGAGAAGTTCTCAGAGCTGAAGGTTGAATACGACTGGCAGCTTCGCATGCAGCGATGGGGCCTAGAACCACAAAGAACCAGAGGAGCTTCATCCCAGGAACCATCACTTTCCTTACCTTGTCCGTCAGCCACAGCCCTGGTGAGAGGCCCTTCAGGGAGATTCCAATCCAGATAGGTTGGGACGATTTAATTTGAAAGTAACCGAGAAGGAAACTTATATGTGGATGTGCCTAACGTCCAAAGCTGAGGGTTTACCACTGGTCTTGAAAAATATCAGCTGATCTAATCATACTGTGTATACCTATGCATGGACATTATCTTTCTTACAGAACCCCAGGCTCTCACAGGTGAGAGAGACCTGGGAGATTCTCTGGTCTAACTCATTTCCCAGATTAGAAAACTAGAGCCAGAGAAGGAAAGGGACTCAGGCAAGGTCACCCCATTAGAAAAGGCGGAGCTGCGGCGTGGGTGGATCTATTCAAACTCTGTTCAGTGTCCTTCTCTACCTCACTCCATCCCATCGGATCACTCATTCAGCTGCTTCACCCACCGGCACGGCAGCCTGGGGGGAGTGCCTTTACCACCCTGTCAACCCAACTCCAACATAAGAGAGCTTGGAAGCAGCATTCACCTTGCAGCTGGGGACCTTGCCCAGCCAGCCAGTGGCTCATTCCAGTTAACATTGGGGTTTCGTTCTGATAAAGGCAAAGTTTCAGGGCTGGTCGGGGTGAGGGGTTGGAGGGAGAGGATGTAAGGAGGGGAATTTGCAAAAGTTCCTCACTTCTTTCCCATGGTTTCCTTTTCCAAAGGAAACTAATTCAAGTCGATTAGTAAAGAAGAATGCTGTCAGCTTATCTGGTTTAAAAACAAAACAGAGACAAAACCGGTTTGGCTCAGTGGTAGAGCGTAGGTCTGCGGACTGAAAGGTCCCAGGTTCGATTCCGGTCAAGGGCATGTACATTGGTTGCGGGCACATCCCCGGTAGGGGGTGTGCAAGAGGCAGCTGGTCGATGTTTCTCTCTCATTGACGTTTCTAGCTCTCTATCCCTTTCTCCTCCTCTCTGTAAAAAATCAATAAAATATATTTAATAAATAAATAAATAAATAAATAAATAAATAAATAAATAAATAAAAACAGAACAAATAACAAAAGAAGACTGCCTTTTCCCTCCGGCGTTGTCTGATTTGTCTGTATTTCTCAGTACAAAGTGATTTTGATGGCGGATGATCTGAGCCTGGCTGATGACCAGGCCAGGGCGTGGGCTGTGGGTGAGGGATCAAGGTCACATAAAAAGAGCCCCTGTGGGAAAGGCAAGTGAAGGTAAGAGTCACACAACTTCTCAAGGCTGGTAATCCAGAAGGGAGACAGGGAGAAGAATGTTATAAAAAGCAAAACCATGTGGTGAAAATGCAATTTGCATCATAGCAAAAGAAGGTGGGACGCCATCAGGTGGGCTGCGTTCATGGTGTATCATAGGTACAAAAGCTCGAGGTAGCATCATTGTGACGCTCGCGAGTGATTTCGTTTTATCAGGCACAGTCTGGTTGCATAGGAGGAAACTACTGTTCACTGCAGGTATAGCTCAGATAGAACGTATTTCAATTTTGTGTGGAGCATAGGGACCCAGAATACAATTTACCAAAGGCCTAGGAGAGCCTTCGATTGCAGGAAATTCCTGTTTCTGGGCAGGTACACAAGTCTTCCTGGGATGCTTAGCGCTTTACTTTTAAAGAACAAAATGCCTATTGGCAGGAAAGGCCTCCTGGGAGGAAAACTGTCTTTCTTACTCCTGCAGGGGAGCAGCCCTATCCTACACTGAGAGGAATGTGTGGTCCTTCTGGAATCCTCCAAGCAAAACTATTATCGCTGACTAAGCAGGAAGCTCTTTCTAAGGCTGGGTTGAAGGAGGACTCAGCTCAATATAATCTAATTATATCAGGCGTACTGGTAAATAATGTGGATTTTGTAATCAATGAAAACATGATAATTTCAAGAGAAACATCAAAAGTGCTTTAGAGTCCATTGCTAGCTTCACATTTCCCCCATCTTTCAGGTAACTTGTGGATACCGTCCCAATAGAATTTTTCTTGTTTTGAGGCAAACTATTCAGAGACCCAATTTTCCACTTCTTCGTAAGTTTTGAAGTGCTGCTCAGAATGTGTGTGTGACATCAATCGGAACAAGTGGTAATCTGAAGGAGCAAGGTCTGGTGAATATGGCAGGTGGATTAATACTTCCCAGGCAAGTTCTTTTAATTGGTTTTAAAGTGTGTGTGGTCTGTTATCATGAGGCAAAATTACTTTGCCATTTCTTCTGGCACATTCTGGTCATTTCATGATCAAAGTGTGTTTCTTTCTTTCTTTCTTTTTTAATACTATATTTTATTGATTTTTTACAGAGAGGAGGAGCGAGGGATAGAGAGCTAGAAACGTCGATGAGAGAGAAACATCGACCAACTGCCTCTTGCACACCCTCTACTGGGGATGTGCCCCCAACCAATGTACATGCCTTGACCAGAATCGAACCTGGGACCTTTCATTCCGTAGACCGATGCTCTACCACCGAGCCAAACTGGCTTTGGCTCAAAGTGTGTTTCAAAGTGATTATTGTTATCAGTTGCTACCAGTATTAATGGTTTCACCTGGTTTTAGAAGCTCATAATACATCACACCTTACTGATCCCACCAAATGCAGAGCATTGTCTTCTTTCTGAAGCAATCTGGCCTTGCAGTCGATGTTGATGATTGACCTGGATCAACCCATGATTTTGTGCATTTTGGATTACCAAAATAAATCCACTTTCCATCGCCAGTCACAATTTGATGCAAAAAAATATTTTCTTTTGTGCCATTGAAGCACATTTTACTGATGACTTTTTGGTTTTCCATTTGTCTTTTGTTCAGTTGATGTGGCACCCATTTTCCTTCCTTTAAAATCTTTCCGATTGCTTGTAAACAATTGAAAAGTGTTTGCTGAGCAACATTTAATCTTTCTGCAAGTTGTTTTTCAGTTTGACACACATCTTCATCCAATAATGCTTGTAATCTTCAAACTTTTTTGGTTGACCTGGATGTTCTTTGTCTTTCACATCGAAATCATCACTTTTAAAGGGTTTAAACTAGCATTCACAAGTATCTTGAGATGGAGCATGTTCACTATAAGCTTCCTGAAGTATACAATAACTTTCAGCAGCACTTTCCTTCAAAATAAACTAACGAATTAAAACTCTCTGTAAATGCTCTTTTTTTTGGCACAAAATTCAACATTTTTAAGCGTAAAAATATCTATGATCTTAACACCTTCATTTGACATATGAAGTTTTGAAGCTTGCTGACAATATAACAAAACAGCATACATATCAAAGTGTATATGTATCAACTTATGTGTAACTCCATCTATTGAAAAAAATCTGAATTATTAACCGGTACACCTGGTAATCTAAATAAGAGGCCTGACGCACAAAATTGTGGGTGGGTATGATCCCTAGGCCTCCCCTGTGTTCAGGGCCATCTTCCTGGGCTGCTGACAGCCAGCCCTGCCCCCGCTGCCACCCACCTCAGTTCCCCACCTCTGCTGTGGGCCACCCTGTGTGTGTGGGGCGATGGGGTGACCAGTGGGGCATGGGCCATGGCCTGGTGCCACCTGCACCCCCGCCACCCACCCCAGTTCCCAATTTGCTATCAGTGATTGAAACCTGCCAGCTGGGGAAAGGGACTGAGAGGTGGTCAGTGCACCTCCTAGTGACTGGTCAAGTGGTCTTTCTACCATTATGGTCACTGGGCTTTTATTGTATAGGATTATAATTAACCAAGTTATAATTAATTATAATATACTAGAGGCCTGGTGCCAAAATTCATGCACAAGAGGTGGGGTGTACCCCTCAGCCCAGCCTGCACCCTCTCCAATCTGGGGCCCCTCTCACAATCCAGGACCTTCTCTCATAAACTGCCCACTATATTCTTAGTTGTAACCTTGAATCTGTATTTATGCTTGTCTTGAAATGCCTATGAAATAAATTCTGATAAACTGGGACTGGCTGTGCATAGCCAGATGCCAAAATGCGGGAACAGACCATATACATAGTGAGTTCAAGTTTCCTTACAAGGGGGCTGTTAGAAAGTGATATGCAATTTAACCAGAAGTGGCAATTTCAGGGTTTCCCCGATTACAATGAAAGCAGTCACATGTGTTTGATGATTTTACCTCTGTCTTCTCGGAAATTCAACTTCACTATCCACTTCCCCTTCTTCCTCTTCTGAGGACTCATCTCCACTCTAAAGAAAACCAAGAAAAAGGATTCTCTCTCTCTCTCTCTCTCTCTCTCTCTCTCTCTCTCTCTCTCTCTCTCTCTCTCTCTCACACACACACACACACACAGACACACAGAGTCCTTGCAAAGATTTAGTCATCAAAAGGCATTGAGTAGTAGCTTGCCGAGTGTCGTCTTTAAACATACAGATTTTCACTCATTCTTTTAGCAACTTTTCCATGGTGATAGGCGTTGCACTAGATGCTGGAAGACATCCAGAACTGAATAAAACATATCTTTGCCCTCAGGGAGGTGCAGCCTCCAACAGCATGTCCAGAGGGGAATGACAGGATGACAGAGAGGGGAAACTGAGGTCTTGGAGTGGGTTCTGGCTTATGTAATCATTGTCACTAGTACCGTTTCCCTGAAAATAAGACAGAGTCTTATATTAATTTTTTCTCCCAAAGTTGCACTAGTTCTTATTTTCAGAGGATGTCTTATCTTTCCATGCGCTAGGTCTTATTTTCGGAGGATGTCTTATTTTCGGGGAAACACAGTAGTGCCAGGCTTTGTCATAGAGACTTCACCAAGGATCTTTCCATTGCTCAAAGCCCAACAACTGCTTTTTCCCCCTTTCACATACCAATCCCCTTTTCACTGACATGGTAATCATTATGCATGTATCATCTTCACTACTAAGACACACATCATTTGAGTTAGACCACATCTTGTTGTACTGCGCCCCTCACTCCACCATGAATACAGCGCTGCCTATAGAGCAGGTGCTTAGTACATACATTACTGAGTCAGCATGTTGGCTGGACAAGGACCATCAGAGGCCTCGTGGTGGTGGGGTTCTGTGGTTGATCTGAAAGGCTGGGTAAGTGTTCTGAATGAGTAAATGATCTTCCCTCACAGAGAAGCTTCCATTTCTCTTCAAGGGCACAAAAGTAGCCACACTCACACCGACTGTCCTTAACCACAGCGACACTGTGTACTACATTACTACAGTCCCTGTGAGGCGGGCAATGGGTTCCAAGTAATTGCACCAAAGATTGAGGATAATGTGCTTTGAAAGTCAGTTCTAAACGTCACTCTTACCTACTTGCATTTGGATGTTTTCTGAGTAGGAAACACAGGGATGGAGGTACCCTGACTGCTAAGATGAGCCTTTACCCCAGAAGTGCACATGGGAGTATATGTCAGTAGACAGAAGTTAAACTGCTCTCTGGGAGTGAGGTTCTAATGAGACCAAATGTATAAGGTGTGTGCTATGTGGCTGGCAGACTCATAAAAGGCAGTATGTTCAAGTAGGTGAGGGAAATGCTGGATTAGGTTTCTGCGTGATTTCTTAAAGTCTAGGACTTGCTAATGTACACTAGGAGTTTCCCGGAGGGGACAGAGAATACACTGTTAACCAAACCTGTTTTATAATTGGATCTTTCCTTCTTGCAACATCCTTCAGGACTAGGTTAGAGTAGTGGTTTCCAAACAATTTTGATTTCATATCCCTGATATATGGTTGTCTATTTATAAATGATGTACACTTCAATCGGTCCACTGGCTCAGTAGTTCTCAAAATGCATTTCTAAGTCCTTCACGTAAGCAGTGTGAAAGGAAAATATTGAGAATAAAGAAGCTCCTGTTTATTCTCTTGTGAGCTCATCCCTTTACAGAACGTGCACTTGTTACGCATGCTTTACAATGCACCTACCAGGACAGGCTCGGACATCCACGAAGGCAGGGGCGCCCCCCGCTGTCCTTACCTTTTGAAGGGGCCTTGTTTTTCGAGGTAGCGCTGGTGGGGTGATGTGATGAGGGACGCCCAGGGACGAGGCAGACCTACAGCCATTGAACTCATTTTCTTCCATTTTCTCAGAACCTTGGGCGTTTTCTGAGAGGAGATTGTGTGCTGGTGACTTGAAAAGGTCGGGACTCCTCCCCACCGGCTCAGCAAAGGGACCATCTAGGGGCCCGCACTGCTCCGGCCTGCACTGGATGCAGGGGTCATAGGGGTCAGCTTGGCAGCAGCCCCAGGGGCCGGCCTGGCCCTGGGCCGGCTCAGAACTTCTCCAGCCGTCCGCTGCCACGGCCATGGAGATGAGGTCAGGGCTGGAGCCAGGCATCTGTCTCTGAGCGTGGTTGCTGAGCGGGCTCCGCAGGGCGGCCGCGGGGCCAAAGTACCTCAGGTTGTTGGCGCAGGTGGCAATGTCCTGGCCGTGCACAGGGAGCCTGGGGTGGTGACTCTGAGACGGGGCGGGCAGGGGCTGCTGGTACTGCTGCTGCAGAGAGGGGTGCTGGGATGGAGCCTGGTGCGGGTACGTGGGGAGGGCTGAATGGTCGGGGGCCGGCTGGTTTTTCAAGATTGCTGCGAAGTCACTGTGGCTGCCTCTGCTGTTCCCCCGGCGGTGGCGTGGTTTGCTCCGATACCGGCTCTTGCCGCCCGAGGTGGACATTTTGGGGCTTCCGGACAGGGGGGACGCAGCGGGAGCCACCTCCACGCTGGGGATGCCCTCTGACCGCAGCAGATCTGGCCTGGGGGCGCAGAGCAGGCGTAGTTTTAAACACATGAAAATACACATTCAGGTTTGGGGAACCCTATCCCAAGCCTTAAAACACACGGTTAGAATCAGCAGTCACACCCAGGGATTTACCCAATGGAGGGAATGGATGTCCACAAAAACGTGGGTTTGGAGACACTGTGTTAATGGATTCCTTAAAAGAGCAGACATTTGGAAACTACCTACATGTCCACTTATGGGGGATTCCCATTATGCCTCCGGGGTTTCATTCGGTGTCTCACTGCCCAAGGTACTCAGGCCCTTTAAATACTAACTCTGCCCCACAGCTTTCTGGGTCTCCTCCTCATAGTATCAGTCATCAGCTTGGTGCCAACATGCCAGCACAGGCATGGGCGATTGCCCGCGACCGGAAATCTGTCTGGTGATGGATGGGGACAGATCCTACAAGGGATCATAAAGGAGAGAGTTCTGGTTCCAGGGAAGGGTACCTTGGAGTAATGAGGTAAGAGGCTGAGTTCAGAGAGTCAGGTGTAGCCAGTCTTCTTGAGGGCTGGGGCTATGTCATATTCATGTCTGTCTGCGAAGGACACTAACACAGGGTCTTGATCACAGTAGGGACACAATAATGTTTCAGGAAGAGGGGACATGGGGTGGGACCCAAAGACAGGAAACAGGAGAGAGCCCAGGAGGCTGAGCAGAGGCAGCAAGAGAAGGCTCATGAGGAGCGGCCCCGGGACTGCACTGTTCCCCCAAAGCGGGGAGTCCTCTCCCAGCCCTGCTGTCACGTGCCCCCTGGGCCGGCCGTGCAGACACCACCGACTCCAAGGCATATAGGTCATCAGTAAGTGCTTTCTGAACCGATGAGGCGATTCAGGGCAGAGATTCTAGGTCACAGTAAGTATTGCTACTTCCTCTCCACCTGAGGAACTGTCATTGAACTGTCCAAATAATCTAGCCTCACCCTCCTAGGGGACCAGACTGATACCAACTGGCAGGAGCTGTCAGGGCTGGAGGCCGCTCCCTAGTTTTTTGTTTTTTTTAAACAACAGAATCCTTTACTCAAATGAATTATGAGGAGAAGCCCAGGATCTGAAGCAGATAGAGTGGGCCAGTTGAAGAGGCCCCTCCCCGCAGGGTCCCTCGTTCTCTCCACCCGCAATAGGACCTGAGGTGCCTCTCTAGGCAGGCCCTAGGGCACCCCAGACCTTGCTTGGGAACACAGATACAGCCCTGCCCCCACCCTGTGTGATGAGGAACCCAGAGCCCAGCCAAACCGGCTCATGGCCCCATCGCTCATTCCTGGCAGAATCCAGACCAGAAGTGTCTGGCTTAGATACAGTTTAGCTTGAAGGTGCATACATGTCACTTGGGATTTTGTTAAAATGACTGAGTAGGTCTGGGATGGGGCCAAAGGGTCTGCATTTCTTTCTTTCTTTTTAAAAAAAAAATACTTTATTGATTTTTTACAGAGAGGAAGGGAGAGAGATAGAGAGTTAGAAACATCGATGAGAGAGAGTCATTGATCAGCTGCCTCTTGCACACCTCCTACCGGGGATATGCCCGCAACCAAGGTTCACGCCCTAAACCGGAATCGAACCGGGACCCTTCAGTCCCCAAGCTGACGCTCTATCCATTGAGCCAAACCGGTTTCAGCAGGGTCTGCATTTCTAACCTGTTCTCAGACTGAGGGCCTAAACTTTGAAGAGCAAGGGCTTAGAGGAAATTAGCCGACACCAGGCAGTAGGAGGCAGGTTTTCCTTTTCTTTCAGGAGAAGTACAGTGTAAGGCTCGCCTTAGCGCAGAAGTTCCAGGAGTCACTGGTTTATGATAAGATATTATGCTGCTCTCAGCAGCTTCCTGTTTCAGATTCAGTTCCATGGTCAGTTGACCAGCTTGTGCCTCAAACAGTATCGGATGGAGGAGGCACTGGGGTTTTTGTTGAGGCAAGAGGGCCCTCAAGGCTGAGTTAGGGGCGCCTATTTACTCAGAGGATGGCTATGGTGGCATCTAAGAGAGCTGAGGAGAAAGTGTTCTAAGTCAGGTGAAGGCTGCTTTCATGGCAGCTGTCAGCTCAAACATCACAGAGTAACACTGACACAGTACTTCACAGATGACAAAGCTTTTTGCATTATAGAAACCACTTGTTTCCTACTATTACAATATTTGTTTTACAAAGAAAGGCACTTAGGGATAGGTTAGTTGTCTTGTGTCCATCACAAAGCAAATAAATGGCAGAACTAAAAACTAATCCCAAATCTTTTGACTCCAAGGAATAGTCCTTTCCCTATTCTAAGCTCTTGCTTATTCCAAGGTATTTAGATGATCTTATTGGCCTGTACGCACTTGTGACAGGCTTGGTGGATCTATAACTGAACTCTGGCTCTCTTCTTTCTAGTCCTTGACAGAATACACCCTGAAACCTAGCTAAAGGAGGGTGCATGGTTTTTCCTCTCTGCTCTCCTCAGAGGTCACTGGCCTTCTGGTTTGATAATCATGGAACTGTCCAAATAATCTGAAACTTAACTCTATAAGGGGAAAGCAGCTGAAAATACAACTCTTCACAGCTCTAGAACCCATCTAGGTTACTTCCTGGACAAGTTTGGTTGTAGAATAAGCATCTGCTGATGATGTCAAACTCCTTCAAACATATTTCCCATAAGCACATGAGTCATATTTTGTAAAAGTGAACATGAACTCATATTTTGAAAAAAGGTACTATTCCTCCCTACCCCTATCCCAATGCTCTAAGTTTTTTGTTTGTTTGTTTGTTTGTTTGTTTGTTTTTTAAATATATATTTTTATTGATTTCAAGGAGGAAGGGAGAGGGAGGGAGAGAGATAAAAACTTCATCAATGAGAGAGAATCATGCATTGGCCACCTCCTGCTAGTGGGGATCGAGCCTGCCACCCAGCCATGTGCCCTTGACCCAAATAGAACCTGGAGACCCTTTGGTCCGCAGGCCGACGCTCTATCCACTGAGCCAAACCAGCCAAGGCTCTTAGTTTTAACTATAGGCAGAATGCAGAGAGGACCAGCAGGCGAATGTGGTCCCTATTTAGGACACCCAAAGAAAGAAATGTTGGGCTTTTAGGAGGGTCTTAGAGGTACTCTCTGAAAACAATTTCTCAGAACTTGACCAGGTGATAGTCAGGAGTGGTAAGTAAAAGCAAAACTGGAGTTAATCCATGGAACTGCTCACTAGTGGTTCAGATTTACACTAGCCATGGTCTCTGGCCACCATTCTGAAAGCCTTAGAATAGATTCTTGGTTTGCATTTTTCATTACTTTTATTCTTTTTTTAAAAATATATTTTATTGATTTTTCTTACAGAGAGGAAGGGAGAGAGATAGAGAGCTAGAAACGTCGATGAGAGAGAAACATCAACCAGCTGCCTGTTGCACCCCCCCCACCAGGGATGTGCCTGCAGCCAATGTACATGCCCTTGACCGGAATTGAACCTGGGACCTTTCAGTCTGCAGATCGACGCTCCACCGCTGAGCCAAACCGGTTTCGGCCATTACATTTATTCTTATTGCATTTAGATCAAGTCTTACTGTTGGGCCCACCTCCCAGGATTAGGGACATTCCTTTCCATTAACTTAGCTAGGACAAAACCGACTCTTCATTATTTGGGAGGAATGCGGCTCTAGCAGAACTTGGTAAGAAAAACTGACTGGAAGGGCATTTTAAGGTTAAACTAATTCAGTATTTTAGATCTGTGGTTAGGGTCAGAGTTTGTAGTGGGCTGAATCAGGTTATATGTGGATTTCCCACAAGCAGGTGGTTGGCACTCCTAATTTCCACATTGCTCAAGGGCCAACGGTATAATTAGGAAAAAGGACAATCTTAAAAAAAATAGATGCTAAGAGAATAAATATATATGCCTCAGATAGTAAAACATGGGCCCTACGGTCCATGACACACTTTCTCTCAGCTTCCCACTGTTTTATCTAGAGGCACGTGTGCTAATGATGAGCTATGGTGGCCACACCACCATCACCGGATAATGTATTTTTAGGGAGCTACGTCCCCATTTCTCTGAACCAGGTCAGCACAAGCATCTCACCGTTTGGTCTGCACCCCAGGTTTGTGAGGCACGCCTTTCCTTTTCATGAGCTTCTCCATGGCATTGGAGTGGATTATTGGACGGACAGGGTGCCGCTTGTAGGTCCCAGGATACTTCTTTTCCACGGCTTGCTCACGCCTGCAGAAAAAAAAGAAAAGAAAAGCTCATCTCAGCCATCGCAAACTGAAAAGATGGGCACAGGTTAATTCAACCCACAGAGTCAGGCCATACTTACCAGGAGCAGGCCATTTGATTAACAAGGTTGCTATTCGGATTAAAGGGGGATAGAAAAGATACTAAATTCAACCTAATCTGATTTCTTTTGTCTTTTTTTTTGGAAGTTGCAGTGTCTTTTAATTTTTTTCATTTTTTATTAAGGTATTGCATGTGTACATATCTTACCATCAACCTAATCTGATTTCATTTTGTTCTTCAGCTCATAGATGAACTCAGAGATGGATCTTCCCCTCCACGGTACACCTCATGAGAGACACAATACAATGGTAGAAATCCTACTGATTTCAGTAGCCGCTGGGTTGGTCAGGATGCCGGGACTTTCTTGCCATTCTCAGGAATACCCTAACCCACCTGCAGAAGCCACCTCACTTCCCCAGGGGGCAATAAGCCCCCACTCAACAACATCCAGCTCTCCATGAAATGCCACCCTTCTCTGAGCAACTCAGCAGGGTGAAGTGGCAAGTAGCTGTCAGTGCAAGTAGCTGTCAGTGCATGCTCCCCTAGGACCAGCTCTGGGGCAACTCCACTCAACTGGAAACCTCCCCAGGACCAGGGACTGTACAACCTCCCTCCCCCGCACACTCAAGAAATGTTGGGTGAATGAATAAGACATCTGCCAGTTCTGAGTAGCAGCAACATTTCTGCTGATGGATAGACCACATCAACAAGGGCAGACAGTGGTCTGGGTACGTACTTGATGAGCTCCTTCTCCCGCATTTCCAGCTGCAGCATGATGGCACTCAGCTCCATGTATAAATTATTAGCCCGCTCAAGTTTTCTCTCATAGTGTTCACGAATATCCAAAGCATGCCTGTCAAAGGAAACACAGGATCAGTGAGATAACCAATTTGGGGGAGGACAAAAGTCAGCTCTCAGGAAGTAAGAACCAGAATGGTCGATCTCAAAAGCATTTGCCCCACGGACCCCTAGATGAAAGGCTCCCTGGTCCGATGCAATGACTCAGCCAAGATGGAGTGGGAGATGGAAAATCCAAGCTTTCCATTTGGTTTATCCCTAGGGGCCATATCCAGCCATACAGAATAGCCAGGAGGGCCACAGATAAAATGTGAATGGGATTTGTGTATAATTTGTAACCTTTGTGTAGCATTGACAATATCATAATAAGAATACATTGTTTATGGAAATATGCAGTTGGAACTGACGCCATGATCACTCATTTATATGTATCCGTGGCACAGATCCTGCCTAATTATAGTGGTTATCTATGAACATGTCTTGCATCCCTTAAAATATTATAACCATCTTGAGACCAGAGACCACATCTTATAAGTTCCTGGCCTTCCATGTCACCTAGGACAGGGGCTGAGTGAACACATAGCATTGCTCTGGGAATCTTCATTGCAGAGATATAATAAAATAGGATAACAGAGTTGGGGGTGGGGGTGGGAAGGGGAGGATAAGCCAGTGACATAAAGGAGAGCAAATCTGAAAGAGAATAACAATAACAGCGCAGGAAAAGGTGTGTAGAAAGTGAAGTGGTGATTCACAAAGAGAGTTCCTGCTAACGCCTGGAGACCCGGGATGTGAAAAGGGGGGGGGGAGAGAGCAGCTGACCTGAGCTCTTCTCGGCGCCTTCTAATCAGCTCTTCATCCAAGCGGTGTATACACGTCCCTTCACTTTTGATCTTCTCAAAGTGCTTTTTCACTTCTTCTCTCCATTCAGCCTGGGTGAGGATAAACTAGACTTCGTTAATATTCTAGGAGTTTCAAACAAAATTTTTTTTTTTTCCTGTAGGCTTCTCTTGAAGAACTATAGGTTCATGTACAAGATATTTTTCCCCCCCTGTAGGCTTCTCCTGAAGAACTTTATAGAATAGACGTTCAATTAATATTAGTCAACATCAAAATACCTCATGAAAATCTACCTGCACACCATACCCCACTCCATTTTCAGTAGTTAGTCCAACATGCGATGCCATCTCTTTTCCAGTTTCCTGGGCCACTAGAACCGTCACAGCTAACGTAACAGCTATCACCTCTGCAAGTCAAGAGGGCAGCAGAGAAAGCCTGGCCAGAAAGGACAGCTGTGATAACTGTGTGTGTGTATATATATATATGCCTAAGTGACCAAATGACCGAACGACCCAATGACCCAACCACCAGTCCACCGGTCGCTATGACGTGCACTGTCCACTAGGGGACAGACGCTCAGCACACAGGATCGGGCTCCCTCCTGTCTGGATTGGGCCTGTGGATATCAGGTCAAAACCGGCCATCGATATCCCCTGAGAGGTTCCGGATTACAAGAAGGCTCTGGCGAGGCTGAGGGCCTCTAGTATGTTACAAGTGCGTGTCAGTGAGAACATGAGCATCTTTACAACTGGCACCAGCATTCCTCTTAGGTTCTGTGTATGAAAAAACTTGAAAAAAAATATTTGGAGGAGAAGACCCAAGGGGCAAGATAGCAGGTAATGGGAATAAAAATACAGAGAATTATACAGGAATTTGGGAGTGAGGGATTGAACAAAAAAGAGTATGGCTAAATAGTTTAGTAGGCTGAAAAAATACTTAAGACAGAAAGGATATCTAATATTTGATTTAAGTTGTTCAAAATGTAAGTCGTTCCCAATGTCCTAAATCTTTAGAAAAGTCTGTTGACATTCACCTAAACTTTGCATACATGTTTTTGTTTTCTTAGAAATTAAGAAAAGGTGCTGAACTTCATGGAAGGCATGGGGGCCAAGAATTTTAGGAAAGCAGAGCCAGAGTGACAATGAAATTATAAATTTCCAGGAATTCACAGGAGTATTAGGACATTGGATTTTTCATAGGGCATGTAATTTTAAGCCAATTTTATCTAAATCTTAGGGGGCAGGGAAACCTCTGCTAGAATATAGTTTATATAGGTAGTTTCTCAAAAAAAAAACAGCTAAGGATATATTTCCTCCAATTATGTATAGACTACCATCCCTGGAAGCTAATGAGGTTAATGTAACTTCCACTAAATGTTTCCAATTGCATAATATTCCTCTAGAGCAGTGGTTCTCAACCTTTCTTTTTTTTTTTTTTTTTTTTTTTTTTTTTTTTTTTTTTTTTTTTTTTTTTAAATCAATCTTTATTGTTCATATTATTACAAAGGTTCCTCATTTCTTCCCCCCTCCACCAGGTTCCCACCCCACCCTCCGTCCCCCCCCGACCCCCCATTGTCCTCATCCATAGGTGCAGTTTATGTTCAGTCTCTTCTTCCCTCAATTTCCCCAATAGTAAATCCCTTTTCAGATAGTAAATCAGTTATTTAGCATTTTCTCATATCAATAATACCTCCACATGCCCAATGATACACTTCACACAAAAGACATTTCCCTCTAGGTCAACCAGCCTCATCCAGGCCCCACCCAAGGCACTCACAGATCAACACCCCAGTCCTAAACTAACTCAACACATCCAGATCTAAGCCTTCATCACTTGATTCAGCAGACCCTCAAGTTCCCACGAAAGTTTCCAGCCATGTCTGAGAAGCAGCCGTGGGGCAGGGGCAGGCAAGGAGCGAGCTGTTCTGGGCCTGGCTGCTCAGGGCCTGGCCTCTGTTGCTCTGGTTCATTCCACAACCAGCTGCTCCGGGTCTGGTCACTGCCGCTCCCGACCTAGTTGCTCTGGACTTGGCTGCTGCTGCTCCGGGCCTGGCCGCTCCCAGCCTGGCAGCCGCTGCTCCGGGCCTGGCCGCACCAGCCCCGCCTGCTCCCCCGGGCCTGGCCGCTCCCAGCCTGGCAGCCGCTGCTCCAGGCCTGGCCGCACCCGACCCGCCTGCTCCCCCAGGCCTGGCCGCTCCCAGCCTGGCAGCCGCTGCTCCGGGCCTGGCCGCACCCGACCCGCCTCTCCCCCGGGCCTGGCCGCTCCCAGCCTGGCAGCCGCTGCTCCGGGCCTGGCCGCACCAGCCCCGCCTGCTCCCCCGGGCCTGGCCGCTCCCAGCCTGGCAGCCGCTGCTCCGGGCCTGGCCGCACCAGCCCCGCCTGCTCCCCCGGGCCTGGCCGCTCCCAGCCTGGCAGCCGCTGCTCCGGGCCTGGCCGCACCCGACCCGCCTGCTCCCCCGGGCCTGGCCGCTCCCAGCCTGGCAGCCGCTGCTCCGGGCCTGGCCGCACCCGCCCCGCCTGCTCCCCCGGGCCTGGCCGCTCCCAGCCTGGCAGCCGCTGCTCCGGGCCTGGCCGAACCAGCCCCGCCTGCTCCCCCGGGCCTGGCCGCTCCCAGCCTGGCAGCCGCTGCTCCGGGCCTGGCCGCACCCGACCCGCCTGCTCCCCCGGGCCTGGCCGCTCCCAGCCTGGCAGCCGCTGCTCCGGGCCTGGCCGCACCCGACCCGCCTGCTCCCCCGGGCCTGGCCGCTCCCAGCCTGGCAGCCGCTGCTCCGGGCCTGGCCGCACCAGCCCCGCCTGCTCCCCCGGGCCTGGCCGCTCCCAGCCTGGCAGCCGCTGCTCCGGGCCTGGCCGCACCCGACCCGCCTGCTCCCCCGGGCCTGGCCGCTCCCAGCCTGGCAGCCGCTGCTCCGGGCCTGGCCGCACCCGACCCGCCTGCTCCCCCGGGCCTGGCCGCTCCCAGCCTGGCAGCCGCTGCTCCGGGCCTGGCCGCACCAGCCCCGCCTGCTCCCCCGGGCCTGGCCGCTCCCAGCCTGGCAGCCGCTGCTCCGGGCCTGGCCGCACCAGCCCCGCCTGCTCCCCCGGGCCTGGCCGCTCCCAGCCTGGCAGCCGCTGCTCCGGGCCTGGCCGCACCCGCCCCGCCTGCTCCCCCGGGCCTGGCCGCTCCCAGCCTGGCAGCCGCTGCTCCGGGCCTGGCCGCACCAGCCCCGCCTGCTCCCCCGGGCCTGGCCGCTCCCAGCCTGGCAGCCGCTGCTCCGGGCCTGGCCGCACCAGCCCCGCCTGCTCCCCCGGGCCTGTCCGCTCCCAGCCTGGCAGCCGCTGCTCCGGGCCTGGCCGCACCAGCCCCGCCTGCTCCCCCGGGCCTGGCCGCTCCCAGCCTGGCAGCCGCTGCTCCGGGCCTGGCCGCACCAGCCCCGCCTGCTCCCCCGGGCCTGGCCGCTCCCAGCCTGGCAGCCGCTGCTCCGGGCCTGGCCGCACCCGACCCGCCTGCTCCCCCGGGCCTGGCCGCTCCCTGCCTGGCAGCCGCTGCTCCGGGCCTGGCCGCACCCGACCCGCCTGCTCCCCCGGGCCTGGCCGCTCCCAGCCTGGCAGCCGCTGCTCCGGGCCTGGCCGCACCCGACCCGCCTGCTCCCCCGGGCCTGGCCGCTCCCTGCCTGGCAGCCGCTGCTCCGGGCCTGGCCGCACCCGACCCGCCTGCTCCCCCGGGCCTGGCCGCTCCCAGCCTGGCAGCCGCTGCTCCGGGCCTGGCCGCACCTGACCCGGCTGCTCTGGGCCCGGCTGCCCCGGGCCCGGCCGCTCCGAGCCTGGCCACTCCCGACCTGGATGCTCTGGGCTTGGCTACTGCTGTTCTGGGTCTGGCTGCTCCCACCCCGGCTGCTCTGGGCCCGGCTTCTCCGGGCCCGGCCACTCCGGGTCTGGGTGTTCCTGGACTGGCCATCCTGGGCTTGGCCGCCTCCGCCTCATGCCTGGCTGCCACTGCCCCAGGTCTGGCTACTCCAGTGCTGGCTGTTGATGCTCTGGTTCTGGCTGCTGTTGTTCTGGGGCCTGGCCGTTGCTGCTCCGGGTCTGGCTGCCACTGCCTTGTGCCTGGCCACTCTAGGCCTGGCCGTCGCTGTTCCAACATTCTGTCCTTTTTTTTTTCTTTTTAAAACGCATTGATGTTGCAATGTTGGCTGGTGAGTTGAGTTCTGACTTAGTCTTTGATTTTTCAAGATCTTCTTTGTATTCTTTCTCAAGTAATTTTACTATTTTTTGCTCTCACTTGATTTCTTCACATTGAGAACTTCTTTGGTTTCTTCCTCCTTGTCCTGGGAGCTCAGCAGGTTGGCCTGTGGCACCCCTTTGTTCTCCGCGGGCTCCTGCGCTGCTTCAGCCTGTTGCTGGGACGGCGCCGCCCAGGAAGCAGCCACCGGCCTTGGCTCCATTGCCCGAGCTCAGTGGTCAAAGGCTCAGGGGCACCCACGCCCCCAGGGGCCCCGTGGCCCGCCTCCTTGCTGGTGCCTGGTTGGCTGGAGTCCGGCAGGGGCTTCCGCTCCCCTCCGAGTTCCCCCAGCCTAGAGCTTTTTTTTTCTCCTTCCCGCTAGGGAAGTCCAGCATCAGAGTCAACAGACTGCCCTCTGCGCGCAGTTTGCGCGAGTCCCACAGACTGTCCTCTGCGCGCAGTTTGCGCGAGTCCCGGGGGCCCGGCCTTTCGCTGCTCTCCCCGGACTCCACCTCACAGCCCCGTCTCCCTCTGCCTGAGCCTGGGTCCCCAGGGATTGGCCCAGAACTGGGGTTCGGAGCAGTCCGGACTGAGGCTCAGCGCCGCCGGAGGCCTTGTTTCTTCCGGCTAGGGCAACCCAGCATCAGAGTCAGCATTCAGTCCTCTGCGCTCGCATTGCGCGCGACTCCCGGGGCCCTGCCTTTCGCCGTTTTTCCGCCTCACGGCCCTGTCTCCTCCCTCCGGAGCCTGAGTCCCCAGGGTCTGGCCCATAACTGGGGCTCAGCGCTGCCGGTTCGGGGGGGCTCAGCGCTGCCGGTTCGGGGGGGCTCAGCGCTGCCGGTTCGGGGGTCCAGCCCAGGCTGGGGGTTTTATTTCCTTCCTGCTAGGGAAGGAAAGGCGGCTCCCCGCCCTCTCCTCCTCTCCGGCTGCGACCTCTCCGTGCGCGCGTGCGGGCGGGCAGGCGCGCGCAGCATGTCTCCGTACCTTAGGCTTTTTTTCAGCTCCTCTGATTTTCTTTCTGGTTTTCTCTTTCCTTCTTGTTGTAGAAATTTCAGTCAGTCGACTACCTGTAGCTCTGGGCAATGTCCACTCTACATTTTAGTTGTATTCCATTGAAATTGTTGTGTGCTGCCGCCGCTAGATGTCTACCCGAGCAGCCATCTTGGATCCTCGGTTCTCAACCTTTCTAATGCCGCGACCCTTTCATACAGTTCCTCATGTGGTGGTGACCCCCAACCATAAAATTATTTTTGTTGCTACTTCATAACTGTAATTTTTCTAGTTATGAATCGTAATGTAAATATCTGTGTTTTCCAATAGTCTTAGGCGACCCTGCTAGTGGTTCTCAGCCTGTGGATTGTGACCCACAGGTTGAGAACCACTGTTGTAGAGCCTAGCTCTTCACATATATGTTGACTCTGACTGACAAAAATTGACTTTTGTGCACCAAACCTGCCAAACAACGCTGTCAGAAAGCCAAGGTCCAGAATGTGCTGTCTATTATTTGATAGCAGTCTTTGACAGTATCCTATATAATAAAAGCCTAATATGCAAACTGACCAAACAGCAGAACGACTGGTTGCTATGATGTGCACGGACCACCAGGAGACATATGCTCAACACAGGAGCTGCCCCCAGCCCACAGGCCCCCGGCTAGCTAAGGCAGGTGCCAGTGGGGGTCCCCTGATTGCTCCGCTGGTCACCCCACACATCAGCCCTGATCGCGGGCCAGGCCTCGGGACTCTACCCATGCATGAATTTTGTGCACTGGGCCTGTAGGCTAAGCTATAAATGCAGGTTTGAGTGAGTCCCAAGTAATGCTGTTCTTTCAATCATCAGATCAAAATCATGAGATAGAAAGAGTATTGAGCTTTAAGAGGCCAAAGATTGACAATCAAGAGTTGTTAGACCAAAAAAGAAATAAGGGGGAGAGTCAAACTTAGGCCTTAAAATGTCCTCTTCTTACAAAAACTGTCAGTGATTCCAGTACAATACTTAAAGGACCCAGGAAAGGAAATGACTCCATCTGGTGGTGAGGAATAAGATATGGCAGATCTATTTGTTTATTATTTTAAAAAAATAAATCTTTATTATTAAAAGTATTGCCTATGTTCTCTTTTTCCCCTCCTATTTATTTTTTAATTCTAGAGAAAATAAACCTCTTGATATTTTGCTTATGGGATTATGGGTTAGGGAAATTTAAAGAGAACCTTTTGAAGATGGAAACCTATTAAAAAAGTGAATTTCCAAAAAGAAGTTCCCTCCTTTGAAGAGGGAACAGGACATGTGGAGAAACAGCAGGTACTGATTAATCATGCTTTCCCCACAGGTATCATGTGACTGGGAGATGTTAATTTTGGAGTTCCATCACATATACTTAGTATCTTTATGTAATAGGAGTTCCAACTGGCACTGACTCTGCAACTCAGACATGTGTGGGCATATGTGAAGCCAATTTGACAGAGACCGAGGAGCCTCTGACAGAAAACAGTTGTGCAGGAAAGATTCCTGCATGAATGTGACCTATAAAAAAAGCCACCATCATTGGGGAGGAGCGGCATTTTCCACTGTTTCACTAAAATACCTGTAAGATGTTGCCATAACCAGCATTGCCCCATTACTTTTAACAAAGCGAAGTCAACAGGAAAGGAAGAATTCGTTGTGTAAACAGGACAAGGTGCATCTTTGGAATCTTGTAAAGAGGAGTAAGCTGAGGTCTAGAAAATGTAGTGAGTTATCCAACATCACAGATCAGGAGTTTAGACTTAGGGCTTAATTCTAGAAACTAGCAAGGATAGCAGATTTTGGGGCTCTTTAAGGAGAGGTAAAATTTTATGTTGGGAGAAAAATGTGGAAGAATTAATGAATATTAAAAGATATCCAATGTACTAAGGTTTTCTTCTCTCTTCCTTCCCTTCCCCTCTTTTTCTTCTCCCTTTCATATTCTTGCTCCAAAAGAACCTTTTCTTTCTTTCTTCTTTTTTAAAAAAAATATATTTTATTGATTTTGTACAGAGAAGAAGGGGAAGAGATAGAGAGTTAGAAACATCGATGAGAGAGAGTCATCGATCAGCTGCCTCTTGCACAACCCCTACTGGGGATATGCCCGCAACCAAGGTACATGCTCTTGACCGGAATCGAACCTGGGACCCTTCAGTCCCCAAGCCAACGCTCTATCCATTGAGCCAAACCAGTCTCGGCAAGAACCTTTTCTTTTCTGAGTTCATCTGTGCTATATATGCTGCATCTTCACACAGTTAGCACTGCAAGTGCTGATAAAAGTGAGTTTGTACAAGTAAGGACACCAACTGTGGGTGCTGAGTTGCACCATACCGTGCTTTGCAGCTGGTGAGGGCTCAGAATATGTTGCACTGGCTAAGAAGTGATATTCTGGGAGCACTCAAGTGAAATCTGCTTAGAAATTGAAGTTTTCCAAGTTTATACAGTTATGTGGTCTCAATAGCTTGTGACTTAGCATGCTCACCAAGAGTGCTTTTCAAAATTGTGGTAATGTATAGTTTTATAGTTACTGTATAGTGAGGGAAGCAAAGCTGTGATTGCAACCATACCCTATGCTTGAAAGACTTCCTAGAGAGTGTTCACTATTATTCACTTTCATTTCACAAAAGGCCCTAGGATTTTTTATTTTATTTTTTTTCGGAGCACTAACAGCTATTTGACAGATTTCTTCTCCAGTTGTAATGGTTTTAAGGGAGTTTACCCAAATGCTTTCCAAAGAACAGAGGAAGTGGTATGAAGTCAACCTCCTACATCCTCTTATTTTCTCTCAGATCAAACACTTTTCTTACATAGTAATTCCTTAGAAACACTAAAAACCTTCAGGGGCAAGTCTGACTAAAGATTTAAAGACACAGTTGTGGGAAGAGCTAAGTTTGTGGCTCCATAGAAAGTATATTGGAACCTTTGGGCAGGATAAGAGTCTCTGACTTAGCTTTCCTTGGGAACTGCCAGAAGCCCTGTGACTTCATTAAGAAATTCCCAATGTCTGGTGGGCAGAGAATCTCTGTGTCTGTCCGATATCTGAGAAGCATGTACTCTGAGTCTTGGGTAGGGCAGGCAGTAAGACATATTGGAGGACTTGTTTAACCCCCAGGACGATGCCCCTCTCAGTCCAGCCCTCGTTTTAACACAGACTTTCCTGGTGGGTAAGTGCACCCTCACTGCAGATGGGGGGCTATGATGAATAGTTTGGGACACTGATGGGTGATAAAACGTCTTCTCTGAGAATGAATCTTTGAAATGATACTGGAAAATAATGTGGAGATGGAATTCATCTTACAAAAATTCACTTAGAAGCACAGTACCATGAGTGAGACAAAGCTACCTGAGAAGAAATTAGGTAATTCTGTTGTGAAATCCTGCGGGCATAAAGCTATAACTTAGGACCATCACACTTATTTCAAAAACCATAGTCTCACCCCATTTTGCTCCTTGTGCTATTACTGGGTCTGGGAAGGATGAGGACCTCACGTACATGTAGCTCCCACCACTCCCTATCCAGGCTGATAGTGGTTGGACCACCAATCCTTATGACGTGTGTAGCATTTTCTTTTAATAGTCACACATTCTTCCCCTCTCTGCATCTACCAAGAGGTGATGTCTCATGCCAAAACCGGTTTGGCTCAATGGATAGAGTGACAGTCTGTGGACTGAAAGGTCCCAGGTTCGATTCCGGTCAAGGGCATGTACATTGGTTGCGGGCACATCCCCAGTAGGGGGTGTGCAGGAGACAGATAGTCGATGTTTCTAGCTCTCTATCCCTCTCCCTTCCTCTCTGTAAAAAATCAATAAATATATTTTTAAAAATTAAAAAAAAAGAGGTGGTGTCTCTTTCTCCATCTGGGATGGCCTGTGACTTGTGTTAGCCAGGGAGACGTTAGCACGCATGACACACACATAGGCTTAAACATCACCTGTGCACCAGTGCTTGCCCCTTGCTGCATTTGTCACCCCAAGAACACCGTGTGAATAAGCCCCAGCTAGCCTGCCAAGGACAAGAGGCCACATGAAGAACTGGGGTGCTCTAGCTAATAGCCAACCGGCAGTCAGACTTAAGAGTGAGGCCATCTGGAACCTGCCAGCCTCCCAGCTGACCTTGCAACGGGCGGCAGACGTGTGAGCGAGCCCAAAGCCGGCAGAACTTCTAGCCCAAATTCCCAACCCGCAAAATCATGAGCCAAACAAAAGCTTATTGTTTTAAGCCATACATTTTAGAATGGCTTGTAGTGCACTAAAAGCTAACAGACAGATTAAGTGACATATAAAGTTAGAGAAAAGGTTCTCTCTGGGCCTGATTCTATCCTGGGCTCTTTTTGGTATTTAACGTCCCTCCTCTGTACTGTCATTTTTTCTTCTTCAAAGAGAGTCATACGTTCATGAAGTTCAGTAGTAATTCTAATTTGCATATATGTACATTACACTTTGCATATCTTCTTTTCCTCTTTTCTCTTCAACAGTTTCACCAGAACCCATTGTGAAGATCAGATTCTGATACACACCCTTTCCAAACGAGAGAATACTGTGGGTGCTCAAGAAACTCCAAAAGGTCATATGTGTGAGTATCACAGTGACTGTTGCACAATGAATGGAGTTACATAATTGCTGTAAGGATCAGAATGGCTCTCGTCTAAGAATTACTTTTTCTCACTGACAGCTCCTTGTCTGTCTGTTCAGTAGCAGTACCTGGCAGAGTTTCCAACCTTACCTGAGACTTGAAGTAAGTTTCCTGTGGGGTGGCAAGAACATCCGCCGACGCGATGTCCAAATGCATGAGTGTCTGCCGGAACGAAGGTCGGTTGCGAGGTTTACTTTGCCTAAATGTAGAGAAAGGCAGCTTGTGCGTTTCAGAAGGCATGTCCAGGAGGATAAAGAGTTCATTCTACTCTAATAAAAGTGGAAGCCAGCTTTGACTCCACGCATGGCTGTACCTCAGGCAGTGAGGATGAAACGAACATCAGTGACCTGTTTGATAACCATCCCTTAGAGCTGGTAAAGTAATAACAGCTATTATTTACTAAGGCCTACTATTTCAACAGGCACTAAATTCTTTATTTATAAGTAGTTTCAAGGCTCCTGGTTTTTATACTACCCGGTGATTCACTCCCCAATATACATGAGAGACTTCCCTGCAGTTCTGAAGAAGTTTCAAATGTGGTTTTGAGGAGGGAGTTAAAATAGAATGTTGGGAGAAATATATTTCTTACCATGTCTGTTTCATAAGGATTTTGAATCCATCAGGGCAAGTGGAAGGAACTGGAAGGTGTAGGCTGTTGCTTCCAACACCCCAAATGATGGCCGAAGAGTCTACATCTTTGTAAGGGATCTCTCCCGTCAGCAGCTCCCACAGCACCACGCCAAAGGACCTGCAGTGGTACCAAGAACACGCACAGAAGACATTTCAGAAAGGCTCGCTTGTATTTTAGTTCTTTGTTTGTTTTTAATTGAACGTGTACCCAGTTTTAAAATTCTAATTCTGCTACAAAAAATAAATAAATAAATAAATAAATAAATAAATAAATAAATAAATAAATAGAAACAGCCAGGAAAACTCTAAGAAAGAAAGTCACTAAGAGGCAACCAACACTCTCCAATGTTAAGACATTTTGTAAGGCTTCAGTGATTAACTCTGGTGCACGAATAGACAGCTACACGAATGAAATGAAACAGAAATCTAGAAATAGACCGAACACATAGAGGGACTGCATATATGATAAAAGTGACATCTCAAACCAGTGGGGGAAATAGATTATTCAATAGATGCCGTTTGGATAACTAGGGAGAAAATAAAATTTATACGTCATCTTACAAAGATGAATTCCTAATGAATCGAAGATTTAGTTATAATAATGAAATTAATTTTCCTGAAAAAAAAATGCATGGGAATTAAAAACAAATCTTAGAGTGGTGAAGGATTTTCTGATTATGAAATCCAGAAGCCATAAAAGGGAGAGAATGATTAAGCTAAACTGCATTAAAAAAAAAAAATCTGGCATGGAAAAAAAGCCTCTACTATAAGAAAAATACCAAAATGTGAAAAGAAGTTATAATGCATATACACAAAGGCTAATCTTTTTAATATATTAAATATTCATAAATTGATAAGAATAAAAATTAGAAAGCTTAGCCAATAATAGTTCACAAATAAGAAATTACAAATGGTTTGTAAACATGAAAAAATGCAAAACATTACTTATAAGAAGAGGAATACAAATTAAAATAGCTCCAAATATACTTTTTTTAAAAAACCTACATGGTTGGCAAAAATCCAAAATTTACCTTTGTTGGTGAGACTAAGAAAACACTCTTACACATTTCTGTTGAGAACATAAATTGGCATAATCCCTAAGGACACATTTGTAATAATTACCCAAATTACAAGTCACTCTACATTTCTTCTTTTTCTTACTTACTTTGATGTTACATGCAATTTTAAAAAATGTATTTTATTAATTTTTTACAGAGAGGAAGGGAGAGAGATAGAGAGCTAGAAATATTGATGGGAAAGAAACATCAATCAGCTGTCTCCTGCACAACCCCTACTGGGGATGTGCCCGAAACCAAGGTACATTCCCTTGACTGGAATCGAACCTGGGACCCTTGAGTCTGCAGGCCGATGCTCTATCCACTGAGCCAAACCGGTTAGGGTTTACATGCAATTTTAATATATGCTATTATTTTAGCCTAAAAGTTATTAGTAGTCCATTTTACAAATGAAAAAAAAAGCAATTATAGGGAAATTCACTGCTAATAGCAAAGATTTGGAGGAAAAATTGATAAAGATTATAAAAAGGTCATCAACAACAACAAAAAGTACAGCACAGAGGCTGCTTATAAAAGGGTAAATTGCACTATACAACTCAAATATGTCTAAAGCCCAGAACTATTCACACCAGTAGCTCACAGATATACATGATGGTCTGAGTTTACCAAAACAGGTAAATTTTGCTTAAAGTATTTTATGTAAGAAGGTGAGAATTATGTAATGTAAAGCCCAGGAAGACTTCTGTACTAAATGATTATTTAAAGTAAACTTTCCTGTTGATATTTGCACTGAAGTAATGCGATCTTCCCAGTTTTTGTGTTTCTATAGAGAAATAAAAAAGAATAAATATCAAGAAAAAAAGAAAGTCAACTTTCCATTTCCCAGAAAGTTTAGCATATTCTCTGAAGGTCCTTCAAACTGATGATTTACTGAATTATCTTAATTCTATCCCAACCCTTTTTACCATTGGACTGGGTAATATGGAATGCAACCAACCAGAAGAGAGGGACACTAACGACTATTTGAGGAAGGTATTAGTGTGGGTGGAGGAAATGCTGAAGGGAGAAAGTGGGAGAAGGATTTCTAGTTGGCACAGATGGTGCTACTCACCATATATCGACTTTTTCGGAGACAGGTTCATTTCGTATCACCTCTGGCGCCATCCATGCGACTGTGCCAGCGAAGGACATCTTGGTACTTTTGTCGCTGAGTTCCTTAGATGTACCAAAATCTGAAATTTTTACTGCATCTGTGTGAGTCACTAAAACACTTTGAAAGGAAATAAGAGAACATCCAGATCATTAGTACGAATGAAAAACATGGCTCAAATTGGCAACTGAAGACTTTGCTACCCCCTACCTTGCAGAATTCAGCTTACCAGTTTCAATATTATTAGGACATTAGCAATACACTAGAAACAGCACCATTCATACTTGTGAGGCAGCATAGCACAGAGGGCTTTAAAATATATAAAATATAAAATATATAAATATAAAAACATATATGTTATTGATGTTTTTTAAAGAGAGAGGAAGAAAAAGGGAGAGAGAGAAAGAGAAACATTGATGTGAGAGAGAAACATTGATTGGTTGCCTCCTTTACACACCCCACCTGGGGACTGAACCTGCAACCCGGGCATGTGCCCTGACTGGAATTAAACCTGTGACCTTCTGGTGCAAGGGATCATGCTCAACCAACTGAGCCACACTGGCCAGGGCCATAGTGGGCTTTTACATCTGGATTTATCCTGCCTTCACCACTGTGTGAGCTTTGCCAATTTATTTAGTTCTCCAACACCATTTTTCTCAACTATATAACATGGAGACAATTCAGTTAACAGTATCTTGTCCACAGTTTAAAAATGCAGAAAATCTAAGAACAGTGCGTAAGCATTTTTTCATATGTGTAAAGCAAACACACTTTATCACACTTTGTGTGCCTACCATAGGTTTTGCTACAGATTATGAATGTGGCTGATTGTAGGGTGCTGCCCCAGCCTTTGCTGGGATGTAAGGTAATGAATGCACTGTTCCTGAAATCATCAGACTCCCGGAGTTGTGGATAAGGAATACTGGCCTGTAATAATGCTTCATAGAAACTTTGTTTGAATTAAATGAGATACGTAAAGCACACATGCTCAATAAATATTGGTTTCCACCCTGCCAGTCTCAGACAGCCCACTAAGAAAACACTTCTTTCAGAACACTCTTTAAGTGATGGCCAACTGAAATCATGCATGGGACCATGATACTAGGAAGTCGCTCCATTAAAAGGCTAATAAGTATCCTGGGATTCCACTAACGATGAGGAAAAGCAGGGATAAATTTAAGCTTAAGTAGATTTCCACAACTCACGTTTTACTTTCCACAGTAGTTATCTGAAATGTGACCTGGACAAACTGCTTTTGTCAGCTTTAAAGATGTTATAACCTGGTACCAATACAACATACTGTGTTTCCCCGAAAATAAGACATCCTCCGAAAATAAGACCTAGCGCATGGAAAGATAAGACATCCCCTGAAAATAAGACCTAGCACAACTTTGGGAGAAAAATTAATATAAGACACTTTTATTTTCGGGGAAGCAGGGTACTAACATCCTCATGCACTAGACTGAGTTCACTTGAAACAGCCTGTTTAGAACTTAAGAATGTCAATGAGTTAGGGTTTCAGAGGCTTAATGATCTAGAGACCTATTTTTTTTTTTTTAAAGGCTTAATATTCCAACAGTATCAGAGTCAAGGAGGTTAGGAAATAGGAAACTTCTCAGTCTAGATCCTCCCTTCTCTGTTTGAACCAGGGACTTCACATTTGCCCCATCCCTGCCAATATAAAAAAGCTATTTACCAAATAGCTCAGTGCTTGCAATTGCTTTAGAATATCTTCATCCACTTCCATGCCCTGGTTTTTCACCTGTTATGTAACATTCACATAATTTAGGAATTTTGATTTAATGGTGCTAGTGTTGGTGGAAATGCATAAGGATGAACGTATCATGGGCTATTTGTGATAATTGGAGAATTGATGGTATCATAAATCATGAGAGTCAGAAAAGGTGATAAACCCCTAGGGGGGAAAACTCCAGAAACTTCCCTTTCTTCCTCTTTTGTGCTGCTCACTATAGGACACTAGAGGCCCAGTGCATGAAATTCCTGCACAGGTAGGGTCCGTAGGCCTGGCTGGCGATCAGCACCAATCTGTGGGGCAACCAGCTGGGTAAATGCCCTGCCGGTCAGGGCCTGCAGGCTGGGGCAGCTCCTGCATCGAGTGTCTGCCCCCTGGTGGTCAGTGTGCATCATAGTGACTAGTTGTTCCACCAGTGGTTCTGCTGTTTGGTTGATTTGCATATATAGGGTTTTATATAGATAGATGACGAGAGGGAATGGACATGGGAGGGGACCAGAGAAAATATGATTTTGGAACTTTTGTGAAATTTCTGAGACAAAGGTCACAGAGCCTAAAGACTTAATGTGGGTAATAAAATCTCTCTTTATAGCAAGCCAGACAGATCTTTGTTTTTTTTTTCAAAATTATCTTGAAACCCAAAGAGGCCAAGGCTACACGGGTTCAGGGTGGTACTGATAACAGAGGGAATGCTTACTGGGTAACCAACTTCCTCTAATCTTTAAGTGACAACAGTTAAAGAGAGCAGTGTGTGATTGTTATGTATTTTACATATTCCTAACTTCCTTTTCTAAAATTAATTCTCAAGGAGAACAGGTGATTCAAAAGCAGACTATTCAAAGAGACCTTTGGCAAGTGTTTTATGTGTATGTGGTGCATGACAAAAGCTTTCATATAGACAGAAGGAATGAACACTTTATAATAAAGTTATTTGCAAGTAAATCAAGAATGAGGTTGTTCAGTGAGCTAACAATGGCAATAAACATTATTGAGAACTATGGTGATGAATTAGAATTCTTTTGAAGTTTGTAATCAAGACTGATTTATATCTTCCATGGAGAAGAGGCAGGAATCCCTCACCTTCACACAATGATTTAGGAAGTAGTGATCTTCAATCAAAAAGTTCTCGGTTCAAGTCCTAGCTCCATGACTTTGGGCTCTGAGCCCTAGTTTTTCTTATGTAAAATAAAAATAATGATACTTGTCACATCCATCCCACACAGTTTTTGCCAAGATTAAAGCAGATGTGTTTATGGATATAAAAACATGTTGTAAATTATAAAAGCACATGCAAAAAAGATTAATCCTTTTCTGCTTCTCCAAACCAAAATGTGATGAGAAGTGATAAAAATGTTTAAAAATAGGAGCAACAGTGAAATATACCATTTTATCAATTCCTTTATGCAATTTGAGGAACTGAATAAACCCTTCTCTTAATGTGGTCATTAGTAGCCAAGGAATCATTTTGAAAACAGAGATTACTAGAATCAGCTTTTTGCTTCTCTTAAATAATCAGTTTGTATTTTTCTTATGGACATTGTGAACCTTATAACTATTTCTTTCTTTTTTTGCTCATACTTTAGGACACTCAGTGCCAAATATGGAGTCCACCTCTACACCACAGCAGTAGAAAATCTTATGGAATACATTTTGTGAACAAGCTTTAGTTCTAACATTTTTATTTATTCTTTGCCTCTGTTTCTTATTCGTTCACTTTTACCTGACTGTATTAAATGCATTTCTGAAACTCAGTTTTAAAGGTGTTTTTCTGGAAACACACAGGAAAACAACAAATCAACCCTCCAAGTGAGAAAGTTTGGCATTAATTATTCAAAATGATTAATTATTCAGATAATGAATTGTTTCATAATTGCACAGTTATAACGCAACAAAAAAGGAAAACTAGTGTCAGGTGCCTGAACATATCTGCCATCTACATCGGTAAGTAGGTCAATAATAATCCAAAAGGTACACAAATAGCATTGCCCACTATACTGACTTAAGCTGAACCAAAAGTACCATGTCTGAAAACTGCAACTAAAGTTGATGGAATTCCTTATTTCAAACCAATAAAACAAAACGGCTGAAAAATTAGCTCTAGTACTCACTTCGGTGATTTGAGATCTCGATGAATAATTTTGTGGAGGTGCAAATAATTCATTCCACTTGCGATTCCTGTGGACCAGTCTACTAGCAATCGTGGTGTGATCTTCCTGCCTGCTCGCAAAACCTCGTAGAGTTGTCCGTGGGCACAGTATTCCATGATGATACAATAACATGGGGCCTGAGTACAAACACCCCTTTCAAGAAAACACAAGCATGTATATAGTACACACATAGACACAAACATACATGTATACTTATTTATATCTTAAGAGTATTTTGCCCTTGCCAGTTTGGCTCAGTGGATAGAGCATCAGCCTGGGGATTGAAGGATCCCGGGTTCGATTCTGGTCAAGGGCATGTAACTGGATTGTAGGCACATCCCCAGCAGGGGGCATCCAGGAGGCAGTTGATTGATGCTTCTCTCTCATCGATGTTTCTATCTCTCTATCCCTCTCCCTTCCTCTCTGTAAAAAAAAATCAATAAAATATATTTTTTAAAAGAGTATTTCATTAATTTAATCACTAAGACCAATTCTCTAACCAAATTATTTTTTATGTGCATATAGATAATCATTCCTGATTCTTAAATTGGCATTAAAACCCTTTAGTCTACAGGTTTTCTCTACTATGCATAGCAACAATTTTAGTTTTGTCTTGTTAACTTTGGGTATTTATGTGCTATGCTATATCTGGTGCTTTCTCTGGGGGGACATTCCATTCTAGGACAAAGAGAACCCTTTCCTGAGGCTTTCTGTGGGCTGGATATTGTGTTGTTTTGATTAAGAATAATTTAAATAGCTTCCTTTTAGAATTACAAGAGGGTTTTATACATAGTGTGCAGAAATAGAATTCAAATAAAATATTACTATTTTTATTATTCTTTTGTGGAATTTTCAGTTACTCAAATTTAAGACTGGCAAGCTAGATTGAAGATCAGAAAAAAAATCATTTTTCTTTTTAAAAACATGTTTTTACTGATTTCAAAGAGAGTAAGGGAGAGGGAGAAATGGATAGAAATATCGATTAGAGAGAATCATTAGTTGGCTGCCTCCTGCACACCCCTCTACTGGGGATTAAGCCAGAAACCTGGGCATGTACCCTGTCTGGGAATTGAACTGTGACCTCTTGTTCATGGATTGACACAACCACTGAGCAACACAGCTGGGTTCAATTTTCCATTTTATATGTTTCATTATTGATGTATACACCTGAAACTAATATAATATTGTATGCCAACTGTAATTAAAACATAAAGAATTATTTAAATACATTTAAAAAGAAGTTAAAAAAACTTTAAAAATTTTCTATAATATATAAGTTTTTGAAAAAAATTTCTGTTTAGAATAAAAATAGCATTACACAGTGTGCTATATATCCATGCAGCCTGTATTTCCATCAATTCTTACGTCTTCCATGAAGCCTTTCCTGATCATTCCAGCCCAAAGGTCTTTCTCTTCTCTCAATTCCAATGCTTCATAGCAGCCATTAGTTTTCAGATGCAATCTGATATAGATTACAGACTCACTGAAGGGAAAGATTTCCAAGTTCTCATTGTCTACCACAAGGCCTAGACAATCACAGCAAGCCATTGACAGATAGTTCTTAACTTTACCTTAACTTTCTTTGATGATCAAACCTTCACACGAGCACGTGCAGAGGCCTGGGGTAGGGGGAAGGGCACTAACATGGAAGAACATCTTCTATCTGTCAGGCATGCCTATTGAATTGTTTTATTTAGTCTGCTCCAAACCACTGTAAGATATACATTACCTTTTCCAATTTTTATAGGTAATGTTCAGAGAGGGACTGTGACTTGTCTTAGATCAGACAACTTCATGAGTGACAGTGGGATTCAAATCTGCCCCTTTAACTTCAAAGCCATGCTCTTTCCACGTGTACACCATACTGCCTCTGTTATCCTCCCCAACTGCAGGATAGACTAGCATATTGGAGATTCCTACATTAATATTGTTACCTTAGAGTAGTGGGAATAGTCAGATTAATTCTAGTTCACACTTTGGTTCAGAGGATGAGAAAAGAGAAAAAAAGTCACCGTCTGTAATTCTCTATGTCCCATCCTTAATGGTATGTATGTATGCCGTCCTTTAAAACTTTCCAGAGTAGCAATTGAGAGCAGTCTACCTGCAAGGCACCCAGCTAAAGTCCTTAGCCAGCTTTCCATTCATGTCCTATTTCGTAGGTTGCTATAAGTGATAGAAGTTATTAGAGGCCATGATGGGCCTGACTGGCATGGCTCAACCTATGAACCAGGAGGTCACAGTTGGATTCCAGGTCAGGGCTCATGCCTGGGTTGAGGGCTTGATTCTCAGTGTGGGATGTGCAAGAAGCAGCCAGTCAATGCTTTTATCTCATCATTGATGTTTCTATCTCTCTTCTCTGCCTTTCTCTCTGAAATCAATAAAAATATATATTTTACAAGGCCATGATGGTTTATAATCATGTGAAAGTCATACAACAATAACAGGTTATAAAGAAATTAAATAATTAGTCTTCATTTTCCCTGCTTTGCTGTTCCTTCAAATGCCACAAAGCTATTTCTCTTACTCTCCATCATTTTCTAGCTGCCCCAAATTTTCATCTTGATTTTCAGTGGAAACATTTTTTCACGTTTTTGTTATTGACTTGTAGGAAACCTCATTGGAGCAAGAATGTACCTCAACTACAAACAGACTTTAATTTTCATCACAGAGAAATAATGAGTAAGGAAGGAATAATGTAATATGCTTAAGGATATCAAAATACATATTTGATTGAAGTTATTCAGAACCCTGTTCAACTATGTTTTAACTTGTCACAAATGTAGACAGAAAGGGCCTAATGGTTATATGCATGCGTTTTTCATCTTTCCCTACTGACGAATGAGAAGCAATCATTCCATCAGCCCTATACTATGACAAGGCCATCACTAGCTATAAATAGCAGCTCTATAATCACTTCTAATTGCTACCTTTTCTTCCCCTTGGCACTCAATTCCATTAGGAACAGTCAAACTGGGTTTTCTTAAAAGATTGCTTTAAGAAATTGGAAGGAAAAAGAATACAATATTTTTTCCTTGGTATTTCCCTTCTGTACATGATTCTTATTTCAAAAGAAGCTGTAAGCACAAAAATCAGTATCCAGAGAGACGTACTAAAATCTGATCTTGCCTTCATGTCTTCCAGATGGTCCTGAATGATTCATTGGCCAAGCAACACATGGCACAGATAGCTGCAAACATAACACTGCACAATGCCTCAAGAGCATGGTGTAATGGGCCAGGGATACAGTCTCGCTATTGTTTCCATGTAGAGGTAAAGACTATTGAAGAATTCAGCCTAAAGAGTTGGGCACCAGCATGGCAATATTTGTCCAAAATGCTGAAAAGAGCATATGCAGGTGGGTGGGTCAGAGAGTGAGGTGGGAGGAAAGACTGAGAGAAAAAAAGGAACAGCCAAAACCGGTTTGGCTCAGTGGATAGAGCGTCGGCCTGCAGACTGAAAGGCCCCAGGTTCGATTCCGGTCAAGGGCATGTACCTTGGTTGTGGGCACGTCCCCATTAGGGGGTGTGCAAGAGGCAGCTGATCGATGATTCTCTCTCATCAATGTTTCTAACTCTCTATCCTTCTCTCTTCTTCTCTGTAAAAAATCAATAAAATATATTTTTTAAAAAAAGAAGAAGAAAAAGGAACAAAGCTTCTCATACCCATCCTCTTAGGACACATATTCTACAGGGAAAGCCCTCCTACCTGGAAGATACAGCCTATTTCATCTCAGGAAGCCCAAAGGCTTGCTAATCTCTGCTCAAACCTAAGCTTCAAGGTTTGGTTAAATGGAAACTCTACTTTCCATTTAGAGTGAAGATCCTCTCGGTAAAGCAAAATGAAAGAAAGAAGTGAGTTTCTGGTAGCCTGCTTAAAAAGAATTATCTTGCCCTGGCCATTTTTCTCAGTGGTTAGAGCATTGGCCTGCAGACTGAAGGGTTGAGGGTTCATTTCCCAGTTAAGGGCATGCACCTGAATTGCAGATTCTATTCCCTGGCTCTGGGCCTGTGCAGGAGGCAACCAGTCAATGTGTCTCTCTCACACTGATGTTTCCCTCTCTCTCTCTTTTTTTCTCTCTTGCTCTCCCTCCCTTCTTGCCCCTTCCATTCTCTCGCTAAAGATCAATGAAAAAAATATCCTAGGGTGAGGATTAAAAAAATAAAATCCTTTTATTGTCTTTAGAAATGATCATCTTTGGAAAGATTAGAATTGGTTTCTAGAGCATTTTATTTTAGTCTCACATGCAACGAGGGCTACCAGTAATAGAATCTCTAGAGAGAGTGTAAGGGAGAGGGAAGGGAGGAGAGAGAAACACAGATGTGAGAGAGACAAGACATATGGATTGGTTGCCAGCTGCATGTATCCCAACCCGCACTTGCACTTGTCCTGACTGGGCTGGGGATTGAATCCCAACCCAGGTACATGCTCTTGAATGGGAATCGAACCTGTGACCCTTCAGTGTGCAGGCTGATGCTCCAACCACTGAACAAGGTTGGCCCTTTTTATACCCATTTCCCTTTCCACAAGGGGTCTTGAGTCAAAACAGCCTTAATACTCATTTAAACTCATTCTACAAAACCTGTACCTAAGATTTCTATTTCTTACTTTGGGGATGTGGTTCCAACAAAAAATTATCACATTGCATGTTTATTTTTATAATGAGAATTTTATCAAGAGAGGCTCCCTCTTGGATGCTGGGAGGAGTTCTTTCTAGTTTAGGGAAGGGGGATTTGTAAGTTATTCCACTTTTAACTGTAGCCTCATTGGTCACATTATTTTCATATCCTATATAATAAAAGTCTAGGTGGCATCACGCATGATGCCATCAGAAGATGGCTGCTACAAGATGGCTGGCAGGAGAGGGCAGTTGGGGGCAACAAGGCTGCAGGGGAGGGCAGTTGGGTGTGACTAGCCTGTCAGGGGAGGGCAGTTAGGGGTGACCAGGCTTACAGGGGAGGGCAGTTGAGGGCTACCAGGCTGGCAAGAGAGGGCAGTTGGTGGCGACTAGGCTAGTAGGGGAGGGCAGTTGGGGGCGAGATCAGGCCTGCAGGGGAGGGCAGTTGAGACTATTGGGCTGGCAGGGGAGGGGAGTTGGGGACGATCAGGCCAGCAGGGGAGCAGTTAGGGGTTGATCAAACCAGCAGGCAATCAGGCAGGCAGGCAAGCGAATGGTCAAGAGCCAGCAGTCCTGGGTTGTGAGGGGTGACCAAACGACTGAACAGCAGGCTGTGTGGGGCAACGAGGCTAGCGGGTTGGGGGGAAGTTAGGGGTTTCCAGGCTGGTGGGGGGGGCAGTGAGGGATCTAGGGATCTAACAGGCTGATAGGAGGCAGTGGGGGAAACTAGGCTAGCGGGTGGTGAGGGGCAGTTAGGGGTGATCAGGCAGGCAGGCAGGCAGGTAAGAAGTTAGGAGCCAGTCGTCCCGGATTGTGAGGGTGCAGGCTATGCTGAGGGACACCGGGCCTCTAGTATACATATAAATAAGTTCTATTTTCTATACTTTTAGCCCACCTAAAAGCTACCTTTCCTATTCTTCACTTTGCCTACTCTAAAGCCACTCACCATTCATTTGTTCAAACCTAAGGCAAACTTTGAAGGCTGGTAAGAGACAGAACTCAAGGCAGAAGGAATTGCACATATTTAGAACTCAGCGCTGCTAAATTTGGTGACTTCCCACAAATTTGCCTTTGGGTCTCCCCCTTTTGCTAGGGATCCCTGCCAATATTGTGAAAATAATGATCTAAACTATAAAAATCTTGAAAACAACTACTTTGTGAAATGAAAATAGCACATAACTTGCTATCACCAATAACTCTGTGTCATTATGTTTAGAAAGCTGAGTATTTGGCATTCCTTAAAAAGCCACCTAGCAAGCAATGATTCAGGGAGAAATACTCTGAAGGTATCTGTTATTACAAGTTAATATTTAATAAGAAATGCTAACAGAAACTTATAAAAAGCACATCAATTACACAGGGACTAATTGTTCTCTGGTCACTTAGATGTTAGCTTTGTTTTCTTAACTGAGCTTCAGGACGTTCAGGTTATCTGTCATCCCATTGATAACTGAGGTTGATGGGCAGATCTGTCTGCTTGGCAAGAATACACTTTCTCTCTCTCTGCCCCATCTGCATCATGTCCAAGCAGGCAAAAATAACTTCTATATTATAAACTCCTTGAAGACATGACTCTAATATAAAAGGTCTTTGATAAATCTACCAAAGCACCTAGCACAGTGCTCATTCTATAGCATGGTCTTAACATGTATTTCAAAGCAGGAATTTATATGTATATATTGGGGGAAAGAAAATCTATTTCTTAAAAAAGAAAACACACACACACACACACACACATACACCAAAAGCCTGGACCTACTTGAAAGCGATGATGTTAGGATGTTTCAACTTCCTCAAATGCTTGATATCCGTCTCATTCTGTTCTCTCACTTTCTTGATGGCCACCTCCTCCGCTCGGAACTTGCCCAGGAAGACAGCTCCTTGGGCTCCACTACCCAGCCACTGCAGCTCTGAGATCTCCTCAAATGGCACTTCCCAGGTATCTAGGCACAAAAATGAGAAACAAGCTTAAAAAATCTTGGAATTTGCTTAGGGACTATTCCACAAGGTCACTCCAAAGGTACCAGCTTTACCATGCCCCAAATGACTCCACCCTCTGTCTCCCACCTGGTAACTCACCAAAACTTGGAATCTTTCTATGTGCCTTGATACTATAGATTAGATATTCCCATGAGTTAGTCTGTATCAAATTTTAACCAGTGAAATCAAGCAAATCAGTGATCTCCAATATACTCTCCTCCAAACAAAACATATAAGGTATCCCACAAGATATATAAACACACTTTGAATAATTATAAAGGCAGTGTTTATTAAAATATATTTCATTTTCAAATTGAGCTATCAGCTGTTAAAGTGTGTATACAATTTTGGGGGACACCCTGCCTACTCCTTTCTCTACGTTTTAAGCTTGCATGTTCAGTCTATTCCCCTGTCTCTACACTGCTATCCCTACCTCATCACCCACTATAAGTGTTGTTTTATTCCTCTTCCAATTTCTAGACAGGTGCTCAATTAATTCTTGCTGAATGAATTTTCAATGATACTCACCTAACAATCTAATTATGTATAATACCTGTATTAGTATTTACCTTTTATTTAGTAGTTACTATATGCCAAACACTAGCATACTGTTTTACATGTCTCATGTGTTTAATCCTTACAACAACCCTACAATTTCAGCCTTATCATGGTTATTTAAAGATGAGAAAACTCTTTAGGGATAGAAATGGTTAAGTGGCAGAACTGGGCCTAGAACTCTAGAATTGGCAGATTCCAGGGACAGGGTTTTTCTACTATACCACATTGCTTCTTGTGCAGTAACTAAGAGTGTCATTAGTCATGATATCTATATATATAAAAGCCTAAGCGACAAAACAACCAAACAACCAATTGACCAGTCGCTATGATGTGCACTGACCACCAGAGGGAAGACGCTCAACACAGGAGCTACCCCTGGTGGTCAGTGCACTCCCACAGTAGGAGCATTGCTCAGCTGACTGATGGGCGCGAAAGGTGGGGCCCACAGTTGGTTAGCACTGCTGTGACAGCGCGAGACTCTCTTGATCAGGATGACAGGTGTAGTGGTACTGGGATGAGTGGGAGCAGCAGGCAGGAGTGGCAGGCGGTATTGGACTGCCAGTTTCTGTCCGATCCTTGCAGGCGGAGGAACCTCACTGGTGCACAGATCCATGCACCAGGCCTCTAGTATTTACTAAAATAGAAATTTACTCTTGTAGTTCTCATATTTTCATGTTTCTCTCTTTATAGAGTTTTATTTTTGGTACCAAATAAATAAATAAATAAAAATAATAGGGGTTATTTCTAAGTGGTGGTATTATTAGTGATTCATATGGTTCTTTATCCTTTTCTGCATTAAACATTTTTAACTCTAAGTGTATAATACTTGTATAATGAATTAAATGCTCTTTGAGATAAAGCACTTAAAAATCCAATCAATATGTGCTTTAATCTTGTGAAACTTAAAAGGAAGAATATAATCCATTAATCCTTCTCCTTGTCCCCCTTTTGCCAGTGCATCATTATTGCACTGGTAAGAAATGAACATCAAAGAGCCAGGAGCCCCACGGAGTGAGGGGAGGTTGATGACAACATTAAAGGTTATGAGAGATTCTTGTTGGATTACTGGTCACTAAAAGGCTGCCATTTAGAGAACACTGAACAAGGTAGTGTTGAGGTGGCTTTGAAGATATTCTGGTCTTGAAAGCAAATCAACTCTCACCATTTGCCATGTGAAGCAAGAGCAGAAAGAGTTCATCAGCCTCCAGAAGGGAACTGCATTTCCCTCTTCTCTAATTTTCTCCACATTAGGAGAAAAGAAACTCTGTAGGCTCTTAATAAACTGGCTCCTCATCATTAAAACATGACCTACAAAATGTAACTATGTAAAGCAGAAAATATTATAGTGAGGGTGGTTTATATCATGGGCATTCGTCCCCTTCTGCTGATATCAGCAGTATTTAAAGGTTTCTATGCTATTGAAAGGAACTATATGCTATATCAAAGCATATCTCTAAAGTACAAATAACTCACAAATGAGAAATCACCTACGGAACAAATAATATCAAGTGCGATTAGGGAGAAAGCAGTAAGTTATAGACTTGACTGCTTTCAATATCTTATTGGCTTCTAATGACTGATAAGTATCAAGTGGCTCAAGCAGTCTCGCTTTCGTCCCCACAGGCTTATTGGTGCAGCACACACAGGCGCAGATACTGATGCATACTCTAAGACAGTTTTACTATTAGGGTCAGTGAAGAACAACTAGTAAACACAGTGTCATTGTGACCATCCTGAGGGTGGAATGAGGTATTATTACAGGATATGGGTCAAGAGCATAATTGGATAATATTTCTCTGAATAACTTTATAAACACCCAAGTTACCCTAATTTTTAATACAATAGCTATTAAAATTAGATAATCTTTGGGTGTCTTTTTCCCCCCTATCTACTCAATCTTTATTTACTGTTAAATTCTAGAAACATTAGAAAATACCAAAATAACATCTATTTTGTCTGATATTCCATCCCATACTCAGTTTTCATTTCATCTTTTAGTCTTTGTTCATATGTATACAGCTATGTAAAAGTTGTATGTGATGTATAATTTTTTCTTTTTCATGTATTATGTATTCCCCATGTACTTACTTAATTTTTATTTTAAGCTTTAATAGTTGTTTACTGTATCTTCATCTTTTTTTGGCATTTAAATATTTCCATCTTTTTGTTTCCTAATTTAAATTTGAAATTAAAACACTTTTTTTCTTTCTTTATATTTACTTCCACAAACTCAATCCTTAGATTAAAGATTAAAGTTTCCTGGCTCGTGGTATACATTCCAAATTGCTGCCCAAAAGGATTTAGTTTGTTTTTGCTGACAGCAACAATGTATGTTCCTTTTATAACAACTTTGCCAGCCATGAATATTGCCAATTATTTTTTGGTGCTAACTTAATTAGATATAAAATACTGTTTTATGTTTGTACTACTTTAATTGTCAGCAATGTGGAATATTTTCTTTACATTTGCTTACTATGCACATCTATTTTGTATGAGTTGTCAAATTTATCCTTTGTCTATTTATCTAATTTGGTTTGTAGTTCTCATAAATTTGAAGGAACTTCCTCTCTATTTCTTTGAAAACATGAAGATAATTTTTTTTAAAAAGCCCCTTTCTTTTAATTTTATTATTTTTTTGAACAACATATTTTTGTGGTTGCCTGAAATTTTTTTTGTAATGTCTTCTACTGGCTATTCTATCCTCTAAGAGTTGATCTATAGTTGCTTTTTAGAAACTTTAGCCTTTACATCCATCTGCAGTTTAAGTAACTCCTTTTATATCATTTTATAATGCTTACATTGTAATTTATTATATTTTAAATAAATAATGCCTATTATTAATGTTTTTTCTTTTCTTTTTAAAAAATCCTCACATAAGGATGTTTTTATTGACCTTAGAGGAGGGGGGAGAGAGAGAGAGAAACATCGATGTGAGAAACATCAATTAGTTGCCTCCCATATGTGCCCCTACTGAAGATTAAACTGTGTCCTGACCAGGAATTGAACAGTGCAACCGTTCTGGTGTATGGGATGACACTCAACCAACTGAGCCACTTGGCCAGGGTTTATTACTATGTATTTTTATAAAATGAGAAATAAATAAATTGTCACTCAAATACCAAAAGTTGAGGATATTATAATAAGGAATAAAGTATTCATCTACCATCAGTAGCTCATGCCTGTGCTATTCAGCCAAGTGTTAATTAATATAGAAAAATAAAGAGACAGCATTGGTATTCAAGAACACAGAGTGCAAAATAAAATAATATTTCAACTACCTTCGCATCAATCTTTTTGCTAGAACTGATTACCAAAAGTAAAATGGAGGGGTGTGATTTAGTCCTCTTGTCCTCTACCAAAGTCCCTGTCAATATCTAGTAAAGAGGCAAGAGACAGTAGAATGGCAGGAAAAAAAGAACTCAAACAGCAATAAGAATGTGAAAAATAGGGGGCCTAGATCATTGATGAACAAGATCACTATCCTCATAATAATGGAAATTGGCTGGGTTAGCCCCAGACTTTCCGCTGCTTTTACTTCTGTCCCTGGTACTCTTCCCAGCCTTCATCTTCTCTCTGATCCATCACTATGACTACTATCTTAATTCCAATATCCACCAGGATTCTTAAGACAGAGAAAAAGCCATATGCCCACCCACTTTAATGCCTAAATTCTCCTTTGTTTATTCAGACATGCCTATGACAATACTTGCTTTGAGACTGGGAATTATTTGGAAATAAAAGATTTCAATGACATAGTGCTATCTTACTTGGACTTCACCACCAATGAACTAAATGGCAGATGAGGACATCATTACATTTTTTAAAAAAAATCTAGTGAAATTTCCTCATACGTACCAACCACAGGGACACATCTCTTATACGAGTTATCCCTCGGTTGACTGTAATCCTGGATTAAAGATAATCTCCCTGATCCCAGGCTGACAAGGAAGAAACGCTTAGTTTCTGGCTAGCCAATCTCCTTCATGGCAACACCAGCCCCCAATAGGATATCTTATCATCTGCTGAAGAGTTAGGCAGCTGCTGTGTCCTTGTAAGCTTAAACTGACCAGGCCTGTTTCTTATTTATTCCGGCAATAATCCTTTCTGAAAGTCACATAATCAACTGGAAGACAAATTAAATACAAGTTTATAGAACAATAAAAAAAATTCAAAGGCTCCCTTTCACCAACACAGAAGGTGACTTTTATATCTTTTATATGTCTACCCTTCAATGTTGCGTTTGGATCCTGAGACCTTCAATTTACCACCAAAATAATTATGAGACTGGACAAGTTAAGACCCTAAAAACCAAACATAGTTTACAGCATAAGCGGATATTTGTAGGTTTTATGTCTATTCAAAGAGGGAACTTAAAAAAAAATAATTTAACTTATCTAAGGGTTAT